AAAAAAAAAAAATCAAATAATTGTAAACTCTGGACCTATCAAGCAAAAAAAATTGTAGCCCAAGCCTATAATTCCGCCTCCAAATTCATAATTTCCCACGTGTACATTACCAGTAAATAACGAGAGAAAGAGAATCCGCTGAAATGCAAAAAAAAAAAAAAATTCTGAAAATGGGAAGCTAAAAATGCCCGTGTTGCGTTATACTCCACATAAACCAGAGAAAATCGATATGCATGATTCACGCGAGCGTGAGCTCAGTAAAAAAAAATTACGATGGGGGAAGAGAAAGAAGGAGAAAGACATAGGGGGGAATAAAGAGAAAGAGTATATGAGAGAGGGGGTTGTTGAAGAGGGGAAAAAAGGCGGGCCACTTCTTCTCCCCTTCAATAATGTCCGTTGCCCCCCAATATCACCTCTCGCTCTTCGTATGTTGCATTCTCCCTCTCCTTCACTCCTTATGTCCAAAAGGGGGAAAAAAAAGAGAAATAAAACGAAACGGGGTCCCAGTACCACAGCAGCACAAACCGTAATTCTATACAAGCTGTATGGAAACAGGAGGGGTTTACTCCCCGCGATGACTACCCCCTCGGTCACTCGATCAGTCGTGTCCCGAGTTTCCTCTACGGTTATACCTTTATTCCATTTATCTCCATATTACGTGAATCATAAAAAATTATCATTATCAGAATAGTCTCTGGAAATTACATCGACAGGTGTGTGAGGTTTAACTGCAATTGTTGTTTGAATTGCAAGTAATTCGCCGGGCGCAAGCGCCATTCACCTACTGAGTACGAAGGTATGAATTGCATGTCCTGCGCCTTTACTTCTTCTTCATACCGGAAAACCAAGCAAAATGTGGGTTACCGGAAATGAATTGACAGTTTTTCGATTTTTTTTTTTCAATTACGGGGGGCAAGGAGGAAGGTGATAATTTGCGGGAATTAGTGGTTTTAGGGGGAAATAGCGGAAGGGATTTTTCGTCGGAAATCGAATTACGGATAGAAAACGATTTTTGAGGTTTTCGTAGGGAATTTGATTTATCATTTATCCTTTTCCTATTTTCTTGTATGAACAATATAATATAACAATATTTTGTTAATCGGTATTTATTGATAGTAAAAATGGATTCATGTCGCTTTTCTGGTTGAAATTGAATTATTTTTTTGTTTTACTTTCGTTAATAAATTGCAGGTTCGCCACTTGCAACAGGAGAAAATTGATTTTTTATTTTTTGATGAAGTGCAGTAGGCAAAATGGAGATTAGCGTACATAAATTTCAATTTTTCTTAATTTGAAAGGAAAATGAGAAAATGAATCCTTTTACGTCATTTTCAATAATGCACTACAATTTTTCAAATAAATATCTATTTTTTAATTTTTGGTTTTGCCTGCGATGAAATGGTTCCAGTCTGAGACTTGCAGAGTGAAATTTACCCAATACAAATTATTATTGTTTTCAACGTAGTTAACTGACCGTTGGATATTTTTCTGTTCTTTCATTTTGTGATAAATGGACATACGCAACACCAAATGGGGGTGAAATCCAGGGATTTCAATGCACGACCAGCGGCGTCGCGACGCAATACTTGGAAAGCGCAAGTTTTCGTTATTTTCCATTTGCATATTTATATTAATTAATATTGGCACAAAACATGTCGATAGCGTTACAGTTTAAAGAATAAAAAAATGATGGAAATAAAACGGATAGGAAAACGATGCCGTGCAGACTCTGTGGTCAGCTGGCTGGTACCGAAACGCGATACGCCTGGGATGGAAAATATAAACAAATGATCAATCAATTTGTTATTGGTAAGAAAATTCTATTTCATTATGATTTCCATTCTATTTGAAATTTTTCCCATCATGAGTCGCAGTGAGAAAAAGAAAATAAGATAGAATGAACGGACAATATGAAGAATATTTTTCTGTTACAAATTTTTGTTTATAATAATCATTGATTTGTCAATTATTCGATATTGAAAGGAAGAGGCACTTTATGAATCAATTTTATGGGATGAAGAACGAAATGATTGAGCGAATTTAGGTTTCGTTAAATATTAATTGATTAATGAATAATTATGAATTTAAACAGAAAATGTGAAATAACCGTATATATGGAAAATTGAATATGCTGCAAAAAAAGTTTTTGATATTTCCTTCTAAAATCGATAGGTTCTTAGATATTAATGAAAGAAAATTGATGAAGTCTATTTATCTCAGTTTACCGCTTCCCTTTTAATATAAAAAAAATTGAGCTGTAAATAAATAACTGAAACTTAATACGAAGAAAACAGCTGAAATAAAACATTCCATAAAAATGAGCAAAACGTAACGATTATATTTCCTCACTTCAACATGACTATTTAATGACGAAATACGTGTCACCACCTCATAGAAACATATTCAGTTACAATTCTCCGAAAAATCAAAAGCTAGGACTGAATAAAACTATAAAAGTTGGAAAACAATGAGACAATAACTGGGATGAGGTTGCAATTGGTGAGGGTATAGTGTCCAGTGTCCAGTGGTATTATTGCACCTCGGGGCGGGCAAAACGGGCTAAGGACGAGCTGAAAGACTAAATAAAAAAATAATTAAATAAGAGGGGAAAAAAGTCTGGGAGAGGGAGGAAGGACGTCAGGATAGGTGTAGACTTACTTTGGACTGTGGTGTGGGATTACCGTACTTATATTCAAGTCTAATATTAAGTTACCATTTTGCTTTACGGCAAGTGAACAGGCTGCCAGCATATAGGAAGCCATCCGACCGCTCCTGGGACAGTGTCTCTTGGTTCTTCGCCTCTCAGGGCCCACCTATGTTGTCCTCAGTGTATTCTCCCAACTTTTATTCTCACGCACGTCATATCTAATAAAAAGTTTTATTAAAATTCACCCATAACTCCCACTCAATTCAGAAAAATTGTCGCTAATAAATCATCTAATAAATAAAAAAAGGAACGTGCTCCCCGAAAATGACAATTTTTTGTTAAAAAAATCCACAAATTATTGTAATTTTTACGAGACGCATGGCTCTTTTTACCATAGCATTACTACAAATTCAGACAAAATAAAACAATTTTTCTGCCCATGTGAGTCTTTGTGAAATCCACTTCGTCTGACAAAAGCCTGACTGCACTACCTTTTATGCAATTTTATTATTCGCAGTGGAATGCGAATGTTCAATCGAGAGAAAAAACACGGATAACTTAATTAGCCCGTGAAAAATGTAGTGAACCAGTTTGAGAACATTGAAAACATTGTGAAAGTGATAATTAAGTGAGAAGGCAGAGGTACTGACTTCTGTGAGTGCTGGGGTACCTTTCAAACGTCCTAGCACCATTTGAAATCAGTACTTCTCCTCTTGGTACTCACCCATTCTAAAAATTCATTACGCAGCATTAAAAATAAATTGAATGATGTACTTACGGTCCGTGACTAATCTAATTACTAATCAACAAATAAAACAGATTGAATTGCCGGGATGAATTAAAAAATGGAATTAATTAACGGTAATGTACTGATTTTTATAATATTCCTCGTTTATAATTTATTCTTCAATATATATTTGTATAATCACAATGTATACTCTATATATAATATGCTCCTTAAATTACGTAAATTGATACACCTGGCTACCTAAAAAATCTATAATATTTTGAATTCTTTTGCAAATGTGAATCGCTGATTAAATTCTTCAATTATTTCGGACTCGAAAATTGGATAATAAATAAATTTCCCTCGTTGCGCAACAAATGGGACTTCTGGGGAAGAACCAGAACCGTGTAATTGCTTTATGTACACTATTTAACATATGTTTAACGTTATCCTCGATTAATTGACTTTCAATATCCTATAATTAATTCATTGAGTTTCCATCATGTTCTTTTCTAATTTTTAGTCAAGTGAAAAATAAGTGAAATACTTGGGTATATCAGACACTTGGTAAGACTTATACCACCCTTACATATTTATTTAGCGCGTGAATTATTTGCTAAACAATAACTAATGGAAAGAAGGAGGAGATTAGGTTTTTTCAATTTTTTTTTTGCTTTTTTTGTGATTTTTCAAGATCTCTCGCTTTCGTTATGTTGACTCTTTGTTGCCGTTTGCTTGCAGCCTCGCCCAGGTATCCCCGAGGGCTTTTGCGAAGTGGTCGTCCACTGGAATAAGAAAAAATTATTTATCACGTAATACAATGTCTTAATTCAGTGAACAAGTGGTAATGGAAGGTGAGTAAAACTTTATAGTCCGTTAAATATCGATTTAGCTTCACAACGATCGACTTGATATAAAAAGATCAAAATAACTTTTTTGTAGCTGATTAAATTTCTGAAGAAAAAGCTCTTCCTGCATTTTCTTTTAAAATCATTCGTTTTTGAGATTAATCGTTATTTAAGAAGATTCGCAAATTCGAAATATATCATTTTAAACCTTATACATTTCATTCAATAATTCCGACACCTTTTCCTCGTTTGTAGTGTTATTCGAGATGAATGAAAGATATTGAAATATAAAAAAATGAAATAAAACTGCTATTTATTATTGAATGAGCTACTTAAGAGATTTTACAGGGATGAAATCAATTACCACTGAGTCCGGTTTCCTTATCAACATTGGAGGAAGCATTGAAGACAGCCGCATACTCCTCGAGGCCCAATGATCTTTTGAAGTGCTCATCTATGGCTGGATCACTAATACCTGCTGGGTTTCGGATTCCGGTTCTCTGACCGCCTATTGCCGTCGAAGGAGTTGCACTGGGTGTAGGTGTTACAGCTGTGTCTTCAATCGTTGCACCTAAAACAAATAATAAATTCACCACTGGCTCTACATTTTATCAGTCGCCTACTCCCGTAAGTGATAAGATGAGATTAATTGAATTGTACTGTTTTATTAATAGTCTCCAAATAAATAATTGCTCAGATAAATCAACATTAAGAGAAAACTGGAAAATTCGATTCATCACATTTTAATACTTTGACCTTGATATGTAAATTTTCAGATTGAATTACCAGGTTTATTCCTCTATTCGAGGCAAACTCATGTTTTTTCTCGATTCTCAAAGTAGGAAGTACTTCAACTTTATTCTTATCAGTAGGATTTCAGTAGCGAGGTGGTATTCGATAAGTTGAATTTACCATTTTTTGTGATTGTCAATTATCTCAGAAACTATTCATTAGAGGTGAAAACACCAAAAAACTTTTTTTCCAGCTGATTAGATTTTTGACGAAAATTTTTTTATGAGACTTTCTCCTGAAATCAACAGGTTTTGAGATAAATTGAAATTTAACAAAATTTCAAAGTTCAATTTATCGCCTTTTGCCGGTTACTGCTACTGATTGGAAGTGATAATAATAGTGGAATTAATAGTATTTCGTACCAGGTTGGGGAGCGGTTGGAACGATAACACTGGGTCTGGTGTGATGATGAACCCTGGTAGCAGACATATCCAGGGCCTCACTTTGAATCGGATCTCTCCTGCGCTCTTTTCGCCACGTGCTGCTCGGTTTTCTATGCAAACTCGTCGTCTTCGGCCTCTCTTCTGCACAAATAAATTCGAAAAAAAACCACTCGTTATCAATTCTCCGACATTTGTGTCTGTTATCGACGCCCCGCGATTTTTTCCTATTTTCCTACACGAATCACTTCTCCACAATATTTTCTGAGGTAAGAAATTTGCCGTGAAATCACAAAAAGAGGAATTTCAGGAGTAAAATATTTGAATATTTATCAACTTATATGTCGAAGTATTTTTTTTTGCGACAAAATATTCCTTCAAGTTTTAGTGGAAGTCGACCGCAAGCTGATAAAAAAATCCATTACTGAAAGTAAGGATTGAAAAAAAAAATTCACCGCCTAGAGTATCTTTGAATGCTAAACTTTGTATCGTCGATTTATCAAATAAAAAAGGTAGAAGGGTGAAATAAAGGAGGGGGAGATGATGGGGGAAGAGTAGTTTGAGATGCAACGTTTGGTTCCCAGGACGGGACAGGAAGTGCCTAATAGCTGTGAGAGGATGCACGGTGGGGCAGTTCGAAACAGGTTTTTCGTAAAGGACGATGAGATGCTGGAAAGCTGAATGGAACCTTCTTCGAGATAAGGTGGAATACGTTTTTCGAATATATTTGTTGTTGTCTCTCTTTCATCCCGCCCCACTGTTTCACTGGGTCTCAATTAACTTTTTAACTTCTCCCATACCCAGCATCCTCGGCATTTCCACACACCATTCGGCGAATTCACACGAAAATTAATGAAAAATAAAATGGAGAAATCACAGGTGCAGTAATTCGTCAACATCACGCAGGCCTAAACAGTGATAAAAGAAATATATGAGAATATTTCTTCTCCAGTGTCTTTGCCACTTCATTAATCGCATTGCCTCCGCTATTACTCAATTCCTTCTGATCATTATGCTTATTATTCCTGTTATTATTTAGATTAAAATTCTTTTAAAAAACAGGAAATTGAAATATTTTCTGATGATCTATACGTACCGAATATTTTTTTAATATCAAAATTGAGCCAAGGCTGCCAGAGACAGTGACTCCTGGCCATTCCCACCCTGACATGATGATTTGTATGCACAGAAGGCATTATTTGTTCATTAAACAATTGGGAATTGATTAAATTGAGATACAATTAACCACTTGAGTTTCCCGGAGTTGATCGATATATCCGTTAATGTGGAGTAAAACGAAAAAACCAAGGAACACACAAAATAACATCCGGTCACTGGTGTCCAAGAAATGCGGTGGGCATTATTACAATGAGAAATGAAAAAAAAAATGCATTTCTTTGGGGATAAGACAGGCACAATTGCGGATAGGGCGCGATGTTTTGAATTTGGAATGGAGTGGCGGTTTTGTTGAATGCCTCCTTACAACTGTCTTATACTTTCATTCATTCATCTTGAAGGCGGGCTCATCTGCCTCCCAGAGCCGGCTTTCGAGCCCCTTCCATCCCACTACTTTACCCATTCGTTCTCCCCCCCACGCGGCCTTGCTCACTCCGCTATTTTCAGGTAAAATATTCATCTCAGACAACAGGTATTATATATTTTTTTTAATTGATTCTCTCAATTCTTTTCAGAGATAGGGACTCCACGACCTGGCGGAGACGATTCCTTGGTTACTTTGCCTCCTGGTGGAAGCTGGTCTCCACAATTTTCAGGAAAAATATTCATTTCATTTCATAAGATTCATTGAAAAAGATTTTGAGGGAAACAATTTTAAACTTTTAATTTATTGAATTTATTGCTTGAATTTTCGACAGTCCCACGACTTCTGTGTCATATGAACAAGAAAATTGTTTCGTCAAAAAAGAGTTTGGCAGAAATTGAATAATATTTAATATAAATTTTACGTGTTTTAAGTGTACTTCGATCATTCAAATTTTCCGAGAGGATTATTACTAAGACAGAGATTGCCCATAGGCCCCGCTATTTTCAGGTAAAATATTGCAAAAAACAAATATCACACTTATTTATTTAATAATTTTCTTTAAAATCAGTTCAGAGGCATTGAAGTTGAACAGAAAATTGGTGTCTTGCATTAACGGTAGCAATTACCGGAAAAGCTAATCATTAAATTATCATAAAAACATTGTTCCACTGATTTCTCATATTTGCTTCATCGCATTATTCCTTGAATTACTCCACTTAACGATAAAGTTTGTTATGAAATTCAACTCTTGGTGAACGAATATGAAAAGAGAATTGCAAAGGTACAAACGAAAGATTGAAAACGAATCAGCATTCAGTGATTATTGCACTTGTTTTATTTTTGTTGTAATGTACCTGGAAATAGAATAAAGACGAGCTCTACAAAGACATCACTGAAAACTGATTGTTTCCCCTCCTTCGTTCGAGGAAGATAGCCCATGGCCAAATACAATTCAACCACAGCATTACCATGAACTGACATTTGTCAATTTCCATTGTTAATATTTGCCTAAGGAAATAAACTCCCTTGATGACTCGATAAATAGGAAATTAAACATATATGCAAGCAATAAAAAAGTCAACAAATCTAAACCAAAATTATAACTATAATAAAATAACCCGTAAAGTCTCGTCATCAATTCGTTTCACGTGAAAAAAAAAAACAGTTGCACAATAAATTAATTTATTATTCAAGAACTGACGCAACAAAAATGACCCCTCACTTTTTTAATGACTAATTATTAATATTATCATTACTCTCGGTATTAGTTACTCCGACATTCGCTGGTTCCATAGGCAAGAATAAATTAAATTATTGACGCTGACGTAAAGCCAAACTCCAGAAAATCGAAAAGTACCTCGAGTAAAATGTCAGTGATTCCCCTCTGAAAACCAACAGAGCCTCTTATCTATCGAATCCCAGAAAGAATTTCTGCTGTGAGTCAATGCATTGCGAAATCGATTAGGCATTCCATGAATTTTCACACGACACACGTTTTTAAAGTGAAAGAGAAATAGTGTATGTTTCAAATTTAACCACATCGATATCACACGGAATGTTTATGGATAACCGATGAAGAATCCAAAACAGTTCGTGGAGTAAATTATGGATCGGTATGTGAGAAAATATGTGGAAATGTGCGCTAAATAAGTTTCAGGCTCGAAACAAATCTCGAATTTATTTCTACTATCGATATCCAGGAGAAATGAAATGCTTCGTGTTTTTCAAATAAATCATTATTATGCGCTATTTTTTCATATACATGCAAATAAAACAGATTTGTGCTCAAATGATTAATTCATATAATTGGGAAATAGAAGGAAAAAATTAACTCGAGCTGGGGGATAGGATATGTCGATAGAAATGAAGAATTCAGTATAGAGGTGATGGGAAAGAATGAGAAATCTATTTGCCATGTGTCATGAATTTTTAAGTGTTTGTTCTACTCATTTAGTTAGTTCATGTTTGAGTTATGTTCCAGAGATAGTCTGCGCACACCATCCACGTCTGACTAATTTTTATGTAATCTGTTTTTGAAAATGTGTCAAATACCTTTCGACTTTGATATTTTGCCCGTGTGGGAGGTTTTTACGAGGGATTTCCATATCTGTGTTGAGAGTTTTCATAAGGGGATCAACTGGTTCTACTGACTACGGAATTCCATCCAATCATCCAAACATTTGAAAGAATAGAAATGATCAAGATCGTTCCCATTTAACGCCTTTTTTTGAGGTCAGAAAAAATCTTAGGAATTTCAATAGCAAAGTGGTGAAGAAAGATAAGACATTTAAAAGTTCCACGTCAATTACTTATTTTACATATTACACCAAAAAAATTATATATTTCGCTGTTCAATATTCTCTCTTATTATTCTCTCGTGCCTGAATTGGCAAATGGTCATGTGATTCTTCCCGATATTCTCCCAATTCCCACGAAAAAAAAAATCCAAGATACTGACCTTGCATCATCGTGGCGGCCCTGGAGAGGACATCGAGAGCACTTTCAACAGCCGACATAGTTTCCAAGTGAACCCTTGACAAAAGTTCCTGCAACAAAATCCCAAAAATAACATAAATTCTGAATTCCTTCCTCTGCACCGATAAATTGAATACGATAAATATTCAAAAAGTGTAGTTACAACTAAATTGTGGCGACAAAAAAAAAGAGAAGCAAGAGAAAAAAAGAGGAAAAAAAAAGTGGGGATTAAAAAAACGTGACATTGTCTGTGGAATGCGGACCCCTCACCAGGAGCTCGGCCTCTCCCCTCTTCAACTCCTCCACAAACGTCTTTGACTCGTACGTTGTATTCGCGGCCAGTACCCCCCACCACCCTTATTTTTAACATACCTCGAACATCACAATCTCATCGAAACAATATTAAAACAAACGGGGTCACTCTTCCGCGTATAAAACCCCATAAAAACCCATCAAAAATCCATTAAAGAAAGAAAAAATCCATCGCCAACGCAATGAAAAATCGAAGATATTCGATCAATCAGTCCGATCTATCCGAGGAATTTGAGATATTTAATAACTCCATTCTCCCCTTTTCCCGCGAAAAATTCCACAAATATAATCAGCAGAATGCACTCGGAATGCAGGGGACTGTTCGGACGAATGAGCATTGAATGCAGTGCGATTTCAAAAATAAATTCAAGGAACTGATGATGGAATTCCTCAGGTATTTTTTATCGTTGGAATAAACAAAGCGCCGTTGAATGAATTCCTTTGAACGTAGGACGATGACACGCATGATATTCCATGTGTGGATGCACGTGGTAACACGTGTGGTGCAATGTGCAATGTGCAATGTTAAAAATAATTGATGATTGGATTTTTCTCCGATACACTGCGCAGCATTCCGCATGTTTTTACGAATAACACCCCACCAGTAAAAATTCCCGAACCTCATCACAAAAATAAACGAAAGAATCGCTTCACCTGAAACTAGTTAACTGCCAATATTATCCAAAATAAGAACAAAGAGATAAAAAATCCTACAAGGGTAAAAAATTTCGAGTCAACTCCATACGTCCCTCAACAAATCAATAAAGGAATGCGGCGTAGCGTTAAAAAGGTAAGGCCTTGCATTCCTCTGGTTAAAATAATGTCGTACAATGAAAAACTCCGTGTTTCGACTTACCTGAGTGAAATAAAATCCAATGATACGTAAACGATTGAGGAGCTTTAAATTATTTGACTATCACTTGACACTTATTGGGAATTCAAATTCGACAATGGAAAGATGAAAAATGTTATTATTGACCGGTGAAACGTAGACGTTTCGCTCCGTTTATTTCCATTGAAAATGGAATGAGAAAATCTAATGGTATGCGGGCGGACACACTGTGGTAGATTGGTATATACACCACGGGGTTGCCATATAACGTCTGACACGAGAAACGTATCTACACCAGTATTTCCCTTCTGACTTTACCTATCTCTCCCGCCAGAGATTTCCCCTCCCATCCCTCAGCCACTTTCAACTCACTTATTTTTCTTTTATAACCGAAGAGTTTTACCACTTTATACGTTACACTGGTGGAATGCACGGAATTTCGTGGGCTAATGTATAGGTATATACTGACGAACAGATGAGACTGTCTCTTTTATCCTCTCTAGCACAGAGTTGTCCTCACTCTTCACTGGGCATGCGCGTGAATAGAACGATGTCATCCTCCGCTCGCGGGTCATTCAAAAAGCAACTCCGTGCAACCGGTCGTTTTTTTTTAATAGTTATTTGGATTTTTTTTGTTATCCTCTCGTTGCCTTATCAATGAAAGAGAAGTGGAATAAATGGTGTAAAAATCAAGATAGCAGTAAGTTCGGTAAATAATTGTCATAAGCTGGCAACTAAAACTTGGAGTTAAATTATCGTTTACTTCGATGGTAAGTTCCATGGGTTTAAGTCTAGTGGTTCCCTCTGTGAAGTCTATGAAATAGGGATTTTGGAGATGATTTTTAACGTTGGGGTGTCGCTACTTAGGAAATACGATTTCATATAATTCATGTCGGTGAAACCAACACATTGACAGTCCAGGAGTTTACGTAAGGAGGTAATTTTTGGAAGATATAAAAAACCATTGTTGTAATATAATTGGAATAATTGGTTGATTGATTGGTTTAAAGTGCAACATGTCTCTCCAAAGCTTTCTCTACAACGCGGTGTTCAAGAGAACGTCGACGTTCATGCTCGCCATCGTTGGAGGCTCTTTCTTCTTCGAGAGAGCTGTTGATGTCACAGCTGATGCGATTTTTGACAATTATAACAAAGGCGTAAGTTATTTCAGGATTGATGAGAATTGTGAGAGATTTCTGTTTTGAGGAGGTGAAGATGATTGGGTGAATATGAAGGGAAAAGAATTCCGAAAATTGATGTATGAATTGTTGAGGTTATAGTGAATGCCCATTTAGTTCCGAGCTACTTAATCCAAAGAAATTCTCATGTGAAATGATGACGTGATCCAATACTAATCGAATTTCTTATTAATTAGTGAAAAAATTCAGAAATGAAAATGAATTGAAATTAATCAATTAATTGATTGCCTTCGATCAATCGCATCTTTTCACTGCTCTCCCTTCATGTCTAATTGTTTTCCAGTACACTGCATATTATCAATTCCAGGGTTTCCAGTGAAGCAGACTAAAGTGCATGTTAAAATAAATAAATAAAAATAATAAATAAATTAATAAATGTAAATATTTTTGATTTCAGAAATTATGGAAGGACATTAAACACAAATACGAGAAAAACTGAGCCAACAGTCCTCGAGCCCTTCACCGCCTTAGGAATCTAGGAAATTCATAAATTAAATATCCAAAATTCTCCAAATGTCACACCCCATGCACAAGAATGTAAATAAAGAGGCAGTGTGCATGTGAATACTAAATACAACCTTGATTTAAAGCTTGTCCTCATTCAATCTTCATTTGTATTCCAATCCAATAAAAACCAATAGAGCAGTAGCATCTATTCAATCCTCAACAAGCCCCCTCAAATTTCCATTAAAAACCCAAGCTACTGAATGTCAAGTGCATTTTGCATTAAATTGCAAAAAGCAAACAAAGAGAGACATCACACCGAGGAGATGCAAATGTCAGTAAAAATCAATATCATTAATTGAATCCTTCTGATTGCAACAAAACCAGGTGCATTTCACTTTTCTCTAATGCACTCAATTGAAAAATCTATAGTCTATAAACTCTACAATACCTTTTCCAGGTGTGTACCCCTGACAGATGCATGAAACACACTTCGCCCTTTTCTTCAATTTATTAAATAAATCGATGGATATATTCGAGAAAATTTTTTATGAGGAATTACTTTTAGTTTATCTTCCCCCTGAGGAGTTGAAATAATTGGTGAACTGGAAAAATTGCTATGAATGAGGATTGATAAAAGGGTAGAAATACATTTTTGATGCCCAGGGTCTCGTCATCAGCTGATAAGTACCTGAGGTCGTCATGCGCAGTGGACACACGCTGACGTTTTAATAAACCAATAATAAACCAATACACCTGTATCTTAAAAGGGGAAGCACGATGGTGCTGTCAGTCTCGTTAACGTATGGACGATAACGCAAAATACTGTGGGATGAGTTGAACATCTCAAGGACAAATGTAATTATCAATAGAAAATTAATCCAACCTTCATTACCACCAGTGTTAACTAATCAAAGTGTCTCGATTAAAATGATTACAATTATTTTCGCCTTTCACTCGCACTAATTACGTCATCTAGTGGTGAAAACATCTCCCATTTCCTCATTCATAACCTTAAATATGATTCTAACGCTGTTACTCACTTCAATGTTTGTAAATAAGTATCGAATCGACGTGCTGGCTTTTTACCGATTGCTCATTGCGCGTTAATTGCAGAAATGAGTAATTGATGTTTGAGGTAACGGGAGTTGCTCCGGATTTTGTGCTTTTTCGAATTTGTGGCCTTTTTTCGGTGTGATTTCATTTTTCTTTAGAGGAGTGTTGGGGATTCCTTGGAGATTTTTGTGTCAATGATTTTTACGGATGAGTGCTCTTATCAAGATTACGTGGAAATTGAAATAATGAGGGGCGGGGGAGAGGGAGTGAAGTGATAGTTGTTTAGAAGAAGGTGTGGTCTGTTTTTTATGGTTTTTGGAGAATTTCGGAGGGGTGAGATTTGTTATTGCAATTTATTATGGGGATTATCGGGATTTTGGGAACAAGCTTAAAGGGGACAATTGAATATGCAGAGCTGAGTGCAGGATTATTGGTCAAGGGTACGATTTAATTGGGCTATTTGGGAGGATTCAGTTGTCGAAAGGTCAAATTTGATAGCAATGTTTTGTTGATTAGAAAAAGCTTTCATCGAGAAAGGTCGAGGCATTCTTTGTGATTCTTTTCTGGGGCAATTATTGCTTCCAATTGTTTCTTTCGACAGCACTCATTACTGAGATGATACAACAGTTCAGCGGACCCTGGACCAAATCCATTAACTCTGAAAAAAGGGAAAATTCATGTTTAGAAATTCGGAAACGGTTTGCTGAGAACTACTTGCGGCAATTCGTGTCGGACTAATTTGACATTTTTTTCTATTTTTATTGCGTGGGTCAGGAATTTAATTAATCATCACTTCACCATACATTAATTAATCATCACTTCCGCTCTGTTAATGCTAGGAAAAATTGACTACTATAATTTTCATGGAACTAGTTGCATCACGTCAATAGAAATTACATTTTTTAATTTGAGAATAGTTGCAGGGGAATGTAATAATAAATATTCAGTACCAACGTGGTTACATATTTTTTTAACAGCGCACTTTGAGATATTCTATTTTATTTCAAATACTCGAGGTAAAGGAGTTTCAGTTATTTTTCAAAGCCATCTGAGTTTTTCTATTTTCCGTCGGATTCAGAATAGAAATGCAATATTCATATCAATTTCGTTTTGATATTATAATTATTTTCATAGACACTTTCATTGCAGCCCTCATATTTTCTCCATAAAAAAAGGTTTTAGAAATTATTCCCCCGACAAAAATGTCCAAAAATCCTCCGGACAAAATTTCCCGATGAAAAATTCCCTGAAGAAACGATTTCCCGGTCGAAATTCCGCAAAAGTAGAGATAAAAATAAATTAATAAAGTTATACGTCGGACGGCTCACTCACGACTATCATCTCAAGGACCAGTAAACTAATTCGTCAATACAAATATTCAATCCATCTGTCTCTTTGATATCGAATACTGTTAACTCTGTACAGTTGCTAACAATTTTCAAAGACTTAAACGGACTTATTTGAGTCTTTCGTTAATCGGATGGGAGTCATTCTCCTTAATTAGTTGAAATGATCGTCAAACGCGGAATCCTTGGAAAAAAATTCATATCTCTTATTGAGTTTATCAAATACTACATGAAGTTCTACTCGATAATTTTTCCTATTATCAGTTATTACAGAGATAATTGACCGAAGTGAATGAGATGAGTCAATCGAGTGATTCGTGTTGATTTTCTTTACTCGGTGATCGGGGACAAACGGGAAAAATGGAGAACTATACTTTTCCAGCCCTGAAGATTTATTCAATTGTGGATCAAAACAAATAAATTGTTTCCATTGAAAAGTATATTTTCTCCTCTTTCCAGTAAACCCAAATTATTCGTCAATTAATTTCTGGGTTATAAAGATAAAAAAAACATTTCCGCGATTTCACTCACAATTAATTACCGAGATAATTGAAGTTGTCATTCATTATCACGTGGTATTTATTTTAATGTTATTTATTTTAAATGTGTAATTATTACCGGAATGAGCAATCTTTTGCGGAAAAAAAATCCTTCAATGCTATGAAAAACTTTTTATACAATTTTTTCCATCTATTGTAGATAGAACTCACTAACTTTCATCTGGAAAGATTAATTAATATCCTCATCAGTGAATTATCCGCTTTGTTGGAGGACTTCTCCATTATTGGGGCTGAATGAACGGAACGAATGCAGAAACCATTAAGATAATTAACACAAGCATAGCATGAAAATTATTTTCTGAGCTGTAAATTGAATGGATAAATAATGCTTCCTAAGAATCGCTGACTTCCAAAAAACTGTTATGAAGTGTCACTTGAATACTATCTTTTAATCCGTAAGAATTAAATAGCTCAGAGTAGCTTAATTCCCGGTTGTGCTTCAAATTTTGTTTGTCGATTATTTAGCTGAGAGAAATTTTCCAAATTGAATAATCCAGTGGCGAACCTTTTTCCAGTTTTGGCTCCACCTTATGTCACATAATTTTAGTATGATTTTTTTTTGTTCTTTAGTGGCACAGATACTCCAAGAATCATGTAACCACACTCTGCCATGAGTGGCCAAGACCTTCAAGAGCACTCTTACGTGAAGGTGCTCTACGACTTCCAGTACAAAACCGCAGAAGGTCGTGAGATCTCTATTAAGAAAAATGAGCGTCTCTACCTTCTCCAGAAGACAAATGCAGATTGGTGGCAGGTGGTGCGGACCTGGGAGCAGCGTTCGTTCTACGTTCCGGCAACGTACGTCCGGGAAATCTCCAAAATCACTCGCAAAAATTCAGACGAGGATCGCGATGGCAGCTTTGAGCCTCCAGATCATCCAAAATACAAGAGTATGCCAAAGGAGAGTCACTCAAGTGCCATGAAAAACGTTAAAAAATGGCTAGTAAGCGCAATGGATACTAAGCAAGAATCCTCGAAGCAGTCCTTCATCGACGACTCCTACAAGCACAACGCCATGGATTACCAATCCCGTGCTGAGTTAAAAGTGGGTTTAGCAGCTATCAAATCAAAATCTCTGGAGCGCGATCGAAAATATGGACAGAGTTTTGATGAGACATCCAGAGAATCCACGAGAGAGCGAAAAAAATCCAAAGAGGCTCTGAAAAAGCTACCCGAGGAGAGCGAGTCTCCAAAGCCGTTGACAAAAAGCTTCTCAACCAGTCCGAAATCCTTTGATATTCCATCCAGAATGGAGATGTCCCTCCAGGACCCTTTCCGAAAAGAACTCAAGAGTTCCCTCGACCGTCGACGCAAAATCTCCGACAACACGGATTACGATAAACTGATAAACCAAAATCGAGATGAAGCGAGAAACCGAAGGATTCGAACTCGATCATCTCGATCAGACGACTCCCAGATCGACAGTGATTTCGACGATAAGTTCGACCGCAAGAGATTTGAAAAACCCCAGAACACCGAAGACCCCATCGTGAAAAATAGAAACAGCAGAAGTCTAGAGTTAGAAGCCCATCAGTTCCAGAGGACAGAGAGAAGTCTGAGTCCAAAACCCACGTATGGAAGACAGCTGACTATAGCTGGACAAATACCTTCTGATAACGACGAGGATGACCACAGAATTCTCAATGACAAACGAAGAACATGGGCTGTGGAAGAGCTAATGTCAGAGTTGACTCAAATGTGTAAAGAAAGGGGAAGCAATAAGAAGCCAAACATTCACCTCAAAAGCACTGAGATAAAAACCTTTGATCCTCACGACAAGCTGACACAGGAGCTCCACGAGATGAATCTTCTCAAGTCCGAGGGACACACACCAACAACCCCAGCTGACTTCAAGTCCTCCTCCCCCATAAACATCTGCAAAATTTCCATAAACTCTGAGGATAGCAGTATCGAGCACAAAATGCCAACGGCTCCCCTCGAGGACGACGAGACCTCCAACATCTCGGAGACCTCAGACACCTCACACATCTCCACTGAAAATTCACAATCAAAACCCTCGAAGCTCCGTAAAAAGTCCTCTAAATCAGCCTTCACCTTCAAAAAAACCGACACAATAATCTCATCGAAACCATCGAGATCTCCAAAATCCCCGAAGATACTAGACGAGTACAATGAGGCAAATATTCTCAACGACATTTCCCCCGATGAATTGCTCGATGACGCTCGATCGTTATCTCGAGATAAGCCGCTGTCGAGTCACCACCCAGAGCCGATTCACTCGAGCCCCGACATTGAGAAGCCATGTTACTCCAACATCAAGCCCCAGAACCCAGAAAAAGTGAGAATGCGTCCGAAATTGAAAATCAAACCAGTGGACTCTAGCAGCGAATTGAAATTGACACCTTCACTGGAGAAATTGGCTAGTGAAATAAAATTCCAACCAGCAAAACGGAGTAGTGAGCTTGGAGACACAAAGATGAGTGAGAGCTTGAGTGACGAGGGTCACTACGATGACAGTGGAATTCAGGAAGGTGTTGACAAGTCTGATGACTCGTGGAGTCGACTGGATCCCCCAGAGCCCAAGAATTACGCTAAATTCAGACACAAACTTGAGTACACAGGCAGCTTCAAGACGAAACGTGAGGGCAAGTACTTTCGACGAAGGGAGGAGGATTCTGATGTCGATGATGATGAGGAGGAGAGCTGGAAAAGAGGACTCAAGAAGAGCTCGACGATGCACTGTGCAACGATACCTGATGCCTATCGTCGTTTCAGGAGGGACAGAGATTTTAATTCGCTGGCTTCAATATCGTTCAAGAGGAGGAGTCGAAGTCTCAGTGATCTGAAGTGCTTGGAGGAGGATGAGGATGGTCCTCCTGAGGTATTCAGTCCCAAGAAGGAGATGGTATGCAAGCCTGTGCCACTACCCAGGACTAAACTCCCGGCGAAATTGGATAAAATGGAGGGGAAAGTGATGCCTGTGCCAAGGAGAATTCAAAAACGTGAGGACGTATTTTCTGAGGATGATGTGTGGGTGCCGCGAACTGATGGCTACAGGAATGCTAAGATTGCACCTGGGGATATTAATATCGAATCAAGCACTGCCGTTGGGTTTAAGACGCTGCTCTGCACGTCTGACAGTGGATCTGATAATTACTTGCAGTCGAAGGAGTTGTTGTCCAGTAATGATGGATTGAATGACACTCGAGAGGGCAGGGGCAACAGAAAAATCAGTGCTGAGAGAAAGGATAAGGCCCAGGGGAGGACCAGGGAGAGCCTTTCTGATGAACTAGTGCTCAGTTCTAATGCCAGCTCCGAAGCACTGCAGAGTCAATCTGAATCGGAAGTTACTGCTGCTTTCGAGGGCTCGTCACAGCCCAGTCCTGTTCATCGTGGTGGAGAGGATGGGTACGAGTGCACTATCGATCTGCCTCCTGGGTGGACACAGAAGTTTGATGATATTACTGAACAGATCTGCTTTGTTAATGAGGCGGGGGATAGGGTGAGTCAGTTATTTGTTATTATTATCTTAGGACTTGAAAAGTTTTACTGTGTAATCATTTTACTGCATTTTTTTAAAACTTTTGTCAATCTCTAGAAAAGTTTCGACAAATTTTTTACGCGGTGATAAAACTTCAGGAAGTTTTTTTGATGAAAAAGGTATCAAAAAAATTCGCCAAAGAATAAAAAAAAACATCGAAAATATTCTTTACAATTTTCTATGAAACGTTTTCCCGAAGTGCGTAATTGTTTAAAAAAATGAGATTCAAAACGATAAATTAATTCCGATGAAAATGAAGAATTGCTATAATTAATTGATCAACTTGAGATAAAAAAAACTCTCCAAGTATTATTCGTTACCCTTTCAGCGTTATTATCGTTGAGCGACAAATTGGCGTTTTTCAAGCTAGCCCGACAATTTTTTTCGTTCGTTTTCTCCACATCTTTTCATCTAAAAAATATACCCATAAATGTCGACCTATTTGACACATGTATTCTCCAAAATTGTTTATTGACCCAACTCCAAAGATAGAATACATTAGAGATTATAACGAGTTAAAATGTGTCAACCATTCGAGAGAAACACACATGTGTATCACTCACACGCGTTTTCAACCCTTCTCCCACACCACTTCACTATATTTCGTGGTAATTCCACGGATATAATTAGTGAAACTCATGACATCATATCGGATTAATTGGATGAAATGTGTGGAGAGAAACGCACGTTTTGTGCACATCGGGGATTATTATGGGATGCGTCAAGAGGAGAGTTTGTGTCCTTTGCGAAGGGTCGTGGAGTCATGCTTGACCCCAAGTTAATTGAATTCGTCATGCGTCTGGGGCGATCAGTCCATCACTTTAACTTTGACATGACTCTCGGTTATCCGTTATTTACGACGATAAAATAATGAATTGAGGGAAAGGAAATTTCTGGAACAACAGAAAGCAACTTCGAATTTATCTTACTGAGCAAATAAACGCTGCCAGGAATTTGATCCTTGGGGTATCAGATGTGGAGCCCTTCGAAAAATAAAGTAAATAAATTTCTGAAAGGAAAACACTGTTGAACGTTTGTGGCTGAAATTTCCGTTACACTCCTTTGAGATTCTTATCGTACTACAGCTTCACCGAAAATCCGAGGAATTTCGTAATTTCAAATCCGAAATTTGGGGAAAAAGTCAATGGAAACTCATACATGGAAATAAATTATTACACTGGAAATTTATACATCAATTCGATTGATCCATAGAAATTCATGTAACTTTCATTTTATTCCATCTTATTTACTCTAAATCACGAGTCGAATGCTGTGAAATTTTCCATTATCTTTTAATTGATGACTAATATTCAAACCCCTGTACATAAATTCATTGAGAATTATCTTGCCATGATGAACGGGTGATTCAGACAAATCAGGTCAGAGGCTGTGTGAGAAAGTGTCAAAGAAATTGTATATTTCCGCTGAAATGAATCAGATTTTATTCAATTTTCATTCATATTATTTATTTACTATTTATTTATCCATTTATTAAATATCATGTTCAGTTTTTCAATAAAAAATCTATAACATTTTCCAAGACAAAAAATCCAGTCGCCGAAACTGACACTTTCCTTAATAGAAAATGTTTATCCGTTTTTTTAAAGGAAAAAATAAATTATATTATTGACACACGTGGAGAAGATAAGACGGGGTTTGAGAATTTATCAGGAACTTTGAGAAACCCGAAGAATTCCCAATAGATGATGGCATGTGGTGGTCCCCCTCAATAAAACGCAACAGAGGCCTTCTGTTGCACCCGCACGACGTCACAATCATGTAAGGAATATATCTGACGTGGGGGCCAGGCCTGGGTCGCTTTTCATTTTGATACCAACGACCCAATCTCCCTTGGCTCCACCTCACCCCCGGGTATAATTTAATCCGTGTGCGTGCGTATTACCAAGACCACTGGGTTTGAAAATACATTGGCACTCGTAAACCTAACAGGCTACTGGGTGCTTTGGTTCGTCTCGTGAATCACATGTGCATATGCCTCCTCTTTTCCTCAGTAGAGACCATTCAGATCTCAAACAGTCCGGACACTTCAGTCTGTCCCTCCATCCTCACCCGAGTTGTTTGGGACAACTGACACGTTCATTAAGATTATTTAACAATCGCTAATTTAGTCATGTCAGTGAACTCAACAAGTCCCTGGAAAATTTCATTATTCAACTATTTACTTTTTTCACCATGTTTCATTATTACTCGTACATTTATGTTAAATACATTTTCGATAACTGAGTGTTAAGTTCTCCATGAGCCGTGCGTTAATGAGATAAAAATCAGTGGAAATTGAAGGGGCATCCATTTGATTCTTGAAAAGTACTCATTCAGAACATTTGGCAGTGATTAATTTGTGAATGTGTATGGCATAAAAAGGAAAATTTAAATGGGAAAAGATAAATTCTGAATTAAGTGAAGGGATTTTCGGAATCCAACAAAAAGATAATAAGATATAAATTGTCTGGTGATGATCATATCGAAGTTCATTTCGAAAAGTGAATTAATTAATTATCAGAAACTTTGTGTTTAATTGGCGTGCAGATTAATTTTACCGAAAAAGAATTCCGAAAAGAGTAGAAGAAACATTTCGTGATAGCAGACACTTATAGTTTAATGAATTCTGTTCAAATTTTAAAGGACGGTATAAAAAAATTGTTCATCATTTCATAAACTCGATTTGATAAACCGAAAGACTGAAATTCATCACTCGACGTTTGCGTCATGGAACAGACATCAATCGAAACTACCAGCCACGAGAGTAAACTCCCGCCCAAAGTCTACAGAATTGATATTTGCCAATCAATCTAGAAACGCCAGTACTGACTATTTCAATTCTACACCACCAATAAGTTCCAGAAGCCCTAAAAATCAGAATCTTTTCTAAAAATACAACTCCCTCCCCCAATTCCATTACTTCACTACTCTCATTACACAACAATATCAAGTAAATAAAATAAAACTATATTTACTTGTTTGGTCACTCCAGCCAACAGTGAATTCAATATTTATAATAATTGCCATAAAATAAAAAAAAATCAGACAATTGAATTTTCAAATTCACGCCGAAAATAGAATATTGACAATGATTATTTTTTATAAATTAAGAAAAACTTGATGGGCGTATAATCTGTATGATTGCAATCTCATTAAATATCCCGGAAATGAAGCGACTGATAAATAGTAAAATATCCCAATATTTCACGAGAAATTCCAGTAATAATTTCCCAACTGTAAACTAAACCAGAGGAATGTTAAAAATACAGCGATAACCCTTCCATCCGAATAATTATTACTGTGCCATTACAAGGCTCGAGAAAAACCGCATAAACGACGGCGGAAGATGTGGTTACGAATCACCCTAGTGGAGTCATAAACCAGAGGAATTTATCGTATCACCACCGGTTATCACGACTTTTCCCCCAACAATGGACGAGGATACTTGCGTTATGGAGGAGAAGAGTCTTCTCAGTGCTCACTCAATCATCAGATCGAAATCCCATTCTCAAAGTAGTCTGTCTGGATTTGCCACTGCTGATGTACCTAACTACACGTGGTTACCAGATGACTTGAGGAAAAAAATAGTGGAGAGTTGTGAAGATGTGAGAACTCGTCAGGGTTACCCGGTGATTGACTGGTTGCGCCAGATCAGATCCAATTGTGATTTCTGTGAAGTGGGAATCACCAGTGATAGCCAGCAGACAACATCATTCCTCGAGGATGGCACAGACACTGATTACATTGACTCAATAGCTTCAGTCATTGACGAATCAATTGAACTCGATGACATCACTGATAATCCGGAAATAGTGTGTAAATATTACGATGATATTGTCGCCTGCTGTGAGGAGGAAATATCGTCTCACATTTATGACGAATTGCCGTGTGATAACACCAGTCAGGGCTTGTTCACGAGTTTCAATAATAGAAATAATCTAGAGGCTGATGTTATGGGAGAGAATATCAGGGAAAGTCGGAATATTCGTGGAGGAGTCATGGACTCCAGGATTGTCTGCTGCGTCGAGCTCAAGCAGAATGACAAGGGATTCTTCTCTGATAAATTTGGCAATGATTCCGTGGAGGAATTGCCAGATCTTGCTCTTGTTGATGACGACAATTGTGCATTAAAATCCTGTGAGAGATTTCTCGAGGATGCTACTAGTGATTTTGGAGAGTTCCAGAGATATTTTCCGGAGGACGTGACCAGTTTCTGTGGGAGTGATAAAAATTGTCGAGATGAATCCCGGAGGTGCGGTGGGAATTATTTGGTGGAATGTGAGATTGAAGTGGAGAATTTTTGCGAGGATGGTCCCAAGTGTTGTGAATACTCCGGGGAATGTTCTGATTTTTGTGTCACTGATGGGGAGAATAATCTGGCGTTGGCCAGTGAAAAGGGGAGTTTCAATGTTGCGCTCTCAGATTGGAGGAAGACATTGAATAATTTTGATGATTTGGGGGATGTCGACGAAGTTGTGTACGACGAGGTGGCATCTTCTGATGAATTATTATACGATTCATGTAATAATTCTGGCAATATTGATGTCGAGGACACAGATTATAAGTACTTTGGGTCTGAGAGCTTGAGTCAGCAGAGGCTGATTCCAGAGTGCGATGAGGAGACCTCGTTTGAGGATAATGGAGAACACATTTATGAGAATTTGTGGGGGGCTAACGAGGGATTTTGCTTGGATGGGTCTTCTGCTTCTTCGGGGGAGACTGGAACTTCGGACTTTTGCTCTCCTGATTTTCAAGGTGATAGGGAGGTGGTGGTAGTGGATGAAGTGGAGGAAGTGGAGGAAGTGGAGAAAGAGGAGGCAGTCGAGGGAGTCGAGACAGTTGAGGAAGTCTCAGATTTTCGGAGGCGGAAGGGATCGACTTCCAGTGATATCGTAATGTGGAGGAATCTGTTGCTCCTTAATTGTGAAGATGAAGATGATTTTCAACAGGTATTTTTAGAATCAATCGAGCTTTTAGGTTTGAGTGGTAGACCGTTGATAACCGGAATTATCGCATTCTGTTGGTTACAAAAATATCTTGGAAATGTGGAGCAGAGGAAATGTAATGGGATTTTTTGTAAAGGAAATTCTTTCCGATATGTTTTCTTTTGAGATCGAATATTCGATCGATTCATTGCATTTTTTCTTATATATAATAAATATTAATACTAATTAATAATTTATGTATGAGGTCTTACACGAGAGTGGGATTTAAGGAAATCTTGATCTAACAATATCTTAAAATAATTTAATTCAATAAAATTCAAAATAAAATGCATTGAATGTTGTAGTGGTTTTCATCAAACGATGCAGAAGGTAAAATCTACTTTTTCGAGGAGAACAGCAACGAATCATCCTGGGTCCTGCCGACAATTTCCCCAGGGAAGTCCCACCCAAAGACATCTTTCCAGAGTGAAGAAAAAATTGATCGTAACAGCGTATCCATGAACGATGTATCCCTGACGAAGAATACATCGAGTACATCTCTTCCAGCAAGTCAGAGTCTCGCAAATCGTGATTTACCATCGAAAAAATCCGGCACATCTCTGAGTGACTGGCCACAACTATTCGATGGCAACATGAGAGTACTCAAGGAGGGTGCGATAAGCCGAACAAAAATAACGGAGAATGGGAAGAAATTGAGGAAGAACTGGAGTACCTCCTACGCCGTACTCACAGAATTATTTTTATTATTTTTCAAAGACGCCAAGACATTTGCAACTGTGATGAAGAGTGGCCAGTCATCGGTGGTGGCTAAGCCCGATATATCTGTTGACCTTAATGGGGCGTTAATTGAGCCCGGGGAGAGAGCTAGTAGCCGGAAAAATGTTTATATGATTAGCACTTTTCTGGGACTCCAAGTGCTTATTCAAAGTGATAATACTGCATTGGCTGCCGAATGGTTCCAGGAGATCCATGGAGTCATCAGGAAATTGGTATGGATTAATTTTCTCTTTCTTTACTTTTCACTTCCGCATTTCATACCGGATGAGAATATTACAGCTGAGTTTTCAAAATTCAAGAAAATTTCATTTTGTAAAAAAAAAGGAAAAAATGGAGTATCTATTGATAGGAATGATTTTCCAATGAATTTTTCCTCGAATATTAGTGAGTTCGGGGGGAATAACTTGGAGTTGATAAGAATTTCCTTCGAGTGTTAAATGCGCTTATCTCCTGTTTCCGCAGCAGTAGTCAATGTATTAGTGGAAAAGGGATCTTGCCCATTTTTTGTGCTGCTTTTATTTTGATTTTTGTTCCATTTGTATGATTTCCAGCCATCCAGTTCCAAATCGCAAGCAAAACCTTTTACCGGTGCAGCCCCGGAAATGCGGAAAATTAGTACCAACAAGTCCCCTGGAGATTCCAAAGGGTCAGAGGAGTCGAAACGATCATCCAAGATTGCTCGATCGAGGTCTATGAAGATGAAGGGACTCGATGACTCTCTGGAGGATCTCAGTGGAACTGTTGCTGAGAGGCAGACGAAAATCAAGGCAAAGTTACGGAGGTTCTTCCTGAGGCGTCCTACTGTTGAGTCTTTAGTTAAAAACGGAATTTATAAAGGTGAGTCTCAGACGAGAATTTATAATAATATTGGGTTTTCTGCATTGTTACATTGTCTTGAGTGATAATTCCAATTAGAAATTCGAATGGTTATCTGAAATTCAGTAGTAATAAGTAGAAGAACATTTTCTATTCATTGTGAGGAGTTGAAAGATTACTCTGACAAACCTGTCAGTCAATCTTGAAATATCTGGAGCGAGAACATAGCAAAAGAATGGTTGAGTGTTGGAAAGATGATATAATTCCGAGTGGAGAATCTATTGAGGAGATTGGAAGCTTCGCAAAAAAAGAAAATGAAAGATAGAAAGAGCTCCCAATAAAAAAAACGCTCTCCAACTTCTTTTCCCTCTTATTAATGCACCATGATGCAAATAAGTGGAACCGTTAGATTGATATTTTAATTAATTTCAGATGAGCCAGCTTTTGGATCGTATCTTGCGGACGTGTGTCCACCCGATCATCCCCGTGTTCCCCTGTTCGTAAAAACCTGTATCGAAGTACTGGAGAGTAACGAGGACAACATGAAGACTGACGGATTATATCGCGCGAGTGGTAATTTGAGTCAAATCCAAAAGATTCGTCTTCAGGTGGATCAATACAACCTCAGTGTTCTGTCTCAAGAGGAGGATGTCCACGTGCTGACAGGTGCCCTCAAACTATTCTTTCGCGAATTGAAAGAGCCCTTGATACCATCGAGCTTCTTCAAAGAGGCATTAAATGCCAGTATGCTTAAGAAAACATCAGCCAAGATTCAGTGTTTTCGTGAAATTGTTAAAGCTTTACCACCACCCAATTACGATACACTTCAATTTCTATTGAAACATCTTCTGAAGGTCACATCTTATCAGGAGTACAACAGAATGCATATACCAAATTTGGCTATTGTATTTGGTCCAACGCTGATGTGGCCAGCTGAGGAGAGTGCAAATATGGCTTTAGATCTTATGCAACAGAATTTAGTTATCGAATGCCTTTTGTCCGAGTACAATAAGATATTCAAATAGATTTTAAAAAATTTAACGAAATAAATGAAATTATTTATTTTTAGATGATCGCTGGTTGATTGAACGTGAAAGTATGATTAAAACATTCATTTCTTTCAGTGATTTTCATCGAGAGGAGTAGAGAAATTCTCGTATTATTTTTTCTTAATACTCTGACAATTTCTGTTATGAGAATTACTCAAAAATATAGTGAATTGTTTCGTCACCTCCTTTCTTCTTTGATTATAAGAATTGGGGGGAATAATGATGATTGCTACTCATAAGAAGACTATTTTCGAAATTTCAAACGAAAAATTAAATTTTTTATAAGACCTCTTTGCTCCACTTGGTTGAAAAAAATTCCAATTTGTTTCGTTTTTTTTTAAATAAAAATCATTCCAATTCCAAAAAAAAAACTCCCTATATTGAGTGTTGCTCGAAAGTGAAGTATTTTTCGAGATTAAAGATTTAAAAAGGATTATAATTACTCGAATGGAAGTGATGAACTATCGAATCGCCCAATTCGTTCAAATTTAGCGTATTCCTGATTTCACTATCGGAATTCCTACGAAACTTACAAAAATGATAACTTATGCACAAAAATTATAAAATTAATTTTTTTATCTAGATGAAAAGATAAAAAATGGATATATTTGAAGAATAATTGTGAATACACGTTAACAACTCGATTGTAATTTATGTAAATATCTGATTAAAAAATATTTTATTGTTAGACTATTGAAATCTTGTGAGGCATGAATTTTAATTGAAACGAAAATAGCATCACATTCAGGATTCGTTTATTCAATTTTAATTACGAGAGATGGAGGGCCCTATGGAATTTTCCTACGCCTGCACTTACATTCCCAATTACTATCGTCGAGATACTGAGGTCTCAATAATTCATGAAAAAATATCATGCACGGTTACTCATATTGATAATGCTCTTCATACTGTAACAAATCGAAAAATAATTCAAGTTATTCATATGTTTATTTATTATTTTATCTCCAATTGAAAAAAAAATTGAAGATGAATTATAGGAGATATAGGATGTTATCTGGAGATCTAGGTTCAGAGAAAGAGATAGAACAGTTGGAGACTGGTGAAATTGTAATCAGTGTTGACAGATGTCTATCGTAGATTCAATTATCTGTAATTATTTTCTTCTACCGAAAATTACACGTGAGAAATTAATTAATACGCAATTCTTAATAATTAAAAAAAAAATTGAGGGAAGAAAGAGACTCTAATTTGCTGTAACGACTAAAATAAGTGTTTTTATTTGCAAAATAAAGATCTGGTATAATTCTAGTAATTGAATTGATAACAATACAGTAATAAATAATTTCACCACTCAACAACTGAAATAATTGATTTATCATTGTTACTGTTAGTGCCATGGCAGATGCTAATGGTTAAAGTTTTGAGGTGTAATATTTCAAAGGATTTCAATGTGTCCATCCAAATAAATAACCGGCGTTAATTATTATTGTTACTAGTTAAATTCATTAATTAATTATTTAATTAATTAAAGATATTTAACAGCATTACATAATTGATTGATATAAAATCAGAAAGAGTAAACAGAGAACTGTGTTCTTCAAGTGAATCCTGATGTTAGAAATAATGAATAAGCTGCCTTAGTGGTTATTGCAGCGTTAAAGAATCACTCCAGATCAGTGTAGAATCTGTGAACTTCTTCGCGTTATTGTAATGAAAGAAAAAAATGGTATTGTTCTTATCTATCGTCTCGACGGAATGGAAATATTTATTGAAATGTTCGATGAATTGTGAGCTATATTAATTTTTATAAAAAAGATTATATCGTGATTGGGATTGCAGAGGGCAAGTGAAATGGAAATGACAGGAGTAATTATGATATCGTGGTGAATAGGCACTTCAATGAAACCTGGTAAAAATATCATATACTAATTTGTTTCTCTCTTGATTCTTTCGTGCATGGCTAGAGGCAAGAAGTTAGATGTTTTTAAATTAATTAAAAATCGAATTTTACTTCTTCTAGTTCCATTCCAGTGTAACGAGGAATTAATAAAATCCATGAGTGTATTTTAAAAAAATAAGTGGAAAAGTGTGATAGATCGTTTCAATAGTACATGAATCAATCGTTTTAGGTTTCTAAATTTTAAGAGAATATAAAGAGAAATTATCAACTGTTTGTCGGTTAAATATATGGATAACATTCAACAAAATGTGTGGCAAGTATTAGATAAATAAAGACAAATAAATGATAACATAATGTCCCGTAGCTTCCATTAGACTTTGAGTTATCCTCGTTGAAATCATTGGATTTGCGCTTAAAAGTTTAAATGTGCAATTGAAAAAAAAAAGAATCTATGAGAATTATAAATTTCGAATCATTGAAGAAACGATAAACCAGATTTTATAAATATATATCATTAGAATGAAAATATCAATTATTTTTTATTAAAAATTCTACTTATGTTCTTTGTTTCACAGCTTGAGGTGAGATTTGTTAGCTAATAAATGCGTTATATTTTGTATTGATTAAAAAACTTTGTACCAAGAAAACATTTTGTCCCTTTTTTTGTCCATTTTTCAGATTGTTTTGAATTGTATTCTGTGTGTTTATTGTACGTACAGAGTGTGCACTACAGATCCTGGGAATAAAAGTTATATTTATTGTTATTAGAGATAAGACATCAGTTTTTATTCAGATACAGAAGGACTCGAATCGCAAACTTCATTGTTATTATCGACCGATTTATCCCACTTCTCTTCGCTTTATAAAAAACCTCAGTCCAATGTTTGTTTACATCTTTTCACCACCAGAAAATATTCCGTGGCACTAGTCATCACTGAGACGTGCAGTGAAATTTCTCGAGACTCTAAACGAAATCATATTTCCGAAGTGAAACAATTGCATTCGAGTGATTCATAATGCCAATTTGTGAATAATTAATTCCTTTACTATTTTTGGGTGTAAGTGGTATGAAAATGTGTCAATGAGTCTCGATAAGACCGGTTTCGCTAGGAGATAAGATCCTCAAGTGTAAGTGCAATCATCAGAACGTCACGGTAAGTGTAAAAAGTGAAGCATGTTTTTAGCATTGAAGACTTTATTGAAATTCCTCAGTGGAAAGTTTACCAGGTATGACTGCAGGCTCATTATCTCCGAGAATAAAAAATCGACTGCATAATTATAAAATTATAGAATCCAAAAAAACTGCACTGAGAGAAAGAATGCTCTATGCATATTTTGAAAACATTATTTCTTCAATTTCATAATTTGCAGGCAATTTCGATTAGGCTTTGATAATCGCCATCATATTACTTTACTTCGAATCGTTCTCGGTTTCACCTCTCGATTATAATCGATTTAATTACGATCACGTAATTTCCCTGAATTTTTCCTTCTGTACTTGCAGCCATGCATCCAGGAATTGAATATGAATTCGAAATTGAATATCAATTTCGTAAGTATCAAATCTCGATACCTCTCCTTCCTTCGCGAAATTTTCTCCTTGCCAACAAATTATATCACAGATAATTCCCCAGAAGAGAACATTGATATTGACAACTTTCAATCTATAACTTCAACAAGCGTTTATTGATAACAAATCCAGAACTCTAAATATCGTAATTGTCCACGCGTGACAGGAAATGTACATCATGAAAGGTACTTATTTCACTGTAATTAGATTTGAGTAGGTGGTACCCAACCGCCAAATGCTTTCTCCAATTCCTTGGCCACAGCAAGGCACAAACGGTCTTGATGTGGAGCAGCAAAAACCTTAACATAAATACATCATCAAAATGATGTACCGATACAAGAATAAAACGCAGATTTTTAGAATATATACCTGAAATCCTATGGGTAATCCCGCGGCATTCAACCCCATGGGCACTTGCGTGGATGGAAGACCGAGAAGATTGCATATTAAACAATACATTCCAGCTGATATTCTTAATGGAGCCTGTCCGAATAGCGGTGCTGCACTCACATAAGTTGGATACAAGAATACACCATCATCTCCAAGTAGTTTCTGAGTCAAACATATCAGAGATGATGAAAAATTAGAGGACAGAATCGTCACTTCAGATCTTTTTTTTTCTTCCCAATCAAGGATGTTTGACACTCACACTGGGATTGGCGTGAAAAAATATAAAGTTTTCGTGTTGTGTCATCATTTATTGACTCACAAAATTTCCAGGTGGTGCGAATATTTTTCTTCATGTTTTATAAACTTCAAAAGAATTACAAAACTAGAGAAAATGCATGGAAATGATGACAAAAAGTTCGTGAGTCATCGAATAATGACGTTATATTTTTGCACATCAATCCTATCGATAGCTTGCCAAAAAATTTAAAAACCGTGATTTTTGGCTGTATATGGCTATATACACAATTACAATACAATAATTCTTTGAAGAATGAAACCAGAATAATTGAAACTCAATTAGAATCCCAGGGATCTGATGGATTTGATTTGAAATATGGTTTTTCATTCGGGATAATTACTCACCAAGAGTTTGATTCTCAAATCGTCCATTTTCTTCAAACAAATTGGTACATCGGACGGCAATATGAATCCATTCAATTCTTTAACAATACTCATGAAAATAGCTGACCTGGAGTATTCAGATTGTCCTAAAAATGATTTGAGGAGTTCCAAAATAGGATTCACTTTGTCCTGAATAAATGCAAAAACATTTTTTATTCCAACCATGACACGTCTGTTCAATCTAATCGAAAAATTGAAAGCGATCGCAATTACCTTTGTACTAGAAGGCAACAAAATACGCGGCATTTGGATATTGAATAAAGTTGCAATTCCAGTTTCAGCAGTTTCCGATAGCTCATCAATTTCCGGCTGCAAACAATTCGATTTCATTTTATACTCATTACTAATAAATACGAAATAGCGAAATCAACACTGAGGAACGGATTCCCCAAAATATGGCGGTAAAATAAAATTCTCGTCTTGAATAATTTTCTCCACAATTTTCAGAAATGATAACTTCACCTTAATAACTTTGAATCCTTCTTTTTCGAGATATTGAACTGCTTTTAAAATGGCATTTCTTGTATCTTTACTGGTAGGAGTTATTCCGAAAGCTTTTCCAGCATCCTCCAAATAAAAGAAATTGAGTTTTGTAATATCAATTGGCTCATCTAGCCGTAAATTCTGTTTACAATCAGCTGACATGACTCTGACAGCCAAGTGTAAGTCCTCAGCAAATCTTGCCATCGGTCCGACAACCAAGTACCTCTGGAACTCAGGATCATCCGACATTGGAAAATGTCCCTTGATTGGTATTATTCCTGAAACATAAATTCCCGAAGCAAATGATATCCGCACCAAGGTAGATCAATAAATTGCAATGAGCGTATTGTTTCTACGGAAACATTACCTGGCGTGGGTTTATGACCGAATATGCCATTGAAAAGTGCCGGTACGCGAATAGATCCAGCAAGATCAGAACCAATCCCTATGAGAGAGGCACCAGCTCCTATGATTGACCCCTGGAGTCCCAAATTACAACAGCAATACGCTCGTCATTAATTATTTAATTTATTCATTTTCATTATTTAGAGATTTATAGATTATTTTATGGAGACGATTATAAATTTTTTACCTCTCCCCCAGAGGATCCACCAGCTGAATGTCTTCCGTCATAGGGATTCATTGTTGTACCGTAGACTAGATTAGTTGACTCAAAACCAGAACAAAGTTCTGGAGTATTGGTGACGCATAGTGGAATAGCACCGACCTTGGTCATTGTCAATACCATGGGACTGTTTTCCGAGGCCTTGATCCCTCGTCTGATTCTCGTACAACCAGTTTGGCTGAGACCTTCTCGTGACCCAATAAATTAAACAATTGTTTACAATTGTTTCAAATTATTTTCAATTGTTCCCTCCAGATTTATCGCTAGATTCACAAGATTGGAGTTTACCTTTAACTCCGCAAGATTCCTTCACTGTAAATGGAACCCCAAAGAGAGGTTTAGTTCTCGTTATTTTGTCAATGGAGATCTCTCCGTTCTCCAGTATTTTGTCGCAATTACGGGCATCTTTAATAGCATCTTCGTATCGTTCATCAACGACGGCATTGATGAATGGATTCACCTCTTTTATTCTCTCGATGTATGCAGTTACGACAGCTTCGCTCGAAATCTAGTGGACGCGAAAGTTATTAGCCAAATGAAAAATGATAAAATTCAATCATTACGCATGTTTTGTTTATATTAGGGATTGGTTTCAATAACAAGAGCATCAGAATTCATTTATTCAATAATTACACGGTGAATCAATTAACGAATCTATTAATTTGTCGAAGAGGTTGGAAGTCTTTTTCAAAAATTTGTATTTTTAATATTTGTAGAAAAACAGCAAATTATTTAATTCGTTATCAATCATGAAATTGAGAATATTAAGTACCCTTTTGACCTCGATTATTTAATCGAGATTGACAAGATTGAGAAGCAGAAAGATTACAGGGATTACGATAAATAGAAGAGTAATGATTAATTCAGATTTTTGATTCATGATATTACATTTTTAAAACCCCGAGCGGTTTTTCACCTTTTTTTCTGTTCTTTATGGGATCAGTGAGGCATTTATGTGGGAACAATCTCCATGACTGAATATTTGAGGCACTCAGTTTTTATCATGCACTGACAACTATTCATAAGGAAATGACACACATTTCCAGGTTCATAAAGACAATTTAAAGATTCAAAACAGAAAATAATTATGATTACAGTTTTTTTTTCGTTTAAATTAATGGAATTAAATACTAAAAATTGTAATGACAAGCAGTTTGGAGTTTTAATGATCAATCAATAGTTAATAATCAATAGTGATAATTTAATAATCAATAACAATCGTGACATTTGGCGAGTTATTGATTGAGATGATATCCAGGGGTTGGGACTTTGCACCAGTCGATTGTTATCAATCATTTCGTAATTAATAATTGATCGATCAACAAGATCTTATGCCCGGGAATATCGAATGCGATCAGTTGTACGATCTGGCTTCATCAATTGGAAGAATAATCCTTTTAAAAAAACATATTTTTCAATTAAATGAATATTCAGCAGAAATAATTTTGTTCTCAGTGTTTTCCATCAATTGATGTTTTGAATTTTGTATGTTGATGCTTATTGAATCTGGTGGCTCAATTTTTTAATTTTTATTTTGAAAATTTAATTTTGCAATTTCCGAATGCGAGCGGACAACAATAATTAGTACATGTTTACTCACTTGTCGGAGGCGTATTCTCGTTGCCAATTCAGTTGCACTCAGTTGAAGAAGAGAATTCTTCGCTGGAGGTAATTTCGGCGGTTGGTTGCGATTTAAAAATAAATAGAGGGGTTGTAATACGGTCAATAGCAGGGATGACAGCCATGATGCGAATCGTAGCATCCATTTCATCCTTTACAGTGGAGAAATTCTAATTAATTCAGTGCTTTATACAATTGACTATGAGTAGTCGATTATTCGCACCGGCAAGAATTTCTAATCATATTTCAGAAAAAAAAAAACAATTTACGTAACGACAATTTCTATCGCACGGAAATCTTGCTGCAGGAAACACGTGACTATTTCAATAATTCAATTTCAATTGCGTAAAAAATCGAAGATTCCATTACGCTAATAACGTGTCATTCATTCAAATGTAATGTACTATAATTGGACGGTTAATTTATCGGGGTAATGGAAAAAAAGTGGAAAATTTCTACACGTTTGACAATAAAAAAGATGGTGTGGCTTATATCGACTGGCGACCTCGAATTCGTAGGAAATACTGTAATTATTTTCTGTAATGGTCTTGAATCACAATACCGAAATAATCAAGTACTTTCTTATCTTGGCACGATTTTATTGATCATTACTGCGCGATCAATGAGCAGTTCAATGATGTCCCCGATTTTATGAGTTGGGGATTTAAACGTTTATTTTTTATGCGGTGCGAATAAAGAAACCATTGTAACTGTTTGTAACACTTCATAATTGAAATAACACCCGAGAAAGTTCAATACGCGCCGGCGGAAAAAAATTTTCTGACAAATTGTTATGTACGGACAGTTATTAAAATTATTATTATGACATCACGAAAATAGTTATGGGAATATAATTGTACCTGAATATATCAGTGATTCTTTAAAATGAATCTAAATATTTTTCCAGAGCAGGAAGAATGAAAATTAAAAATATAAATTTCCCTTAACCCTTTCTTAGAGAAATATTCAATAAAAATTACGTGTCTTTTTCGTAATTCCGGAACGAAATCTGGTTGTAAGAAATTTTACGGCGCTGTCCCGTAATTTCTATCTAAAGTCATGCAATTTTTTTCCAGCGCTCCGTAATTTTTATCTGAATTATCTCTGAAAAATTACGACACCGTCACTTAAATTTTTCGGATCGATTCCGTAATCGGTACACGAACTGAAAGTTCCGTAATTTTTACTAAATATTTCTCTCCCTGTAGTTTCAAATTGGAGTCCAATAGAATAGAATTATTTTCATTGCAAATGAGAACGTTTGGTAAAGGTAGAGAAATATATTATTTGCATTATTAATATTTCTAATTAATGATGACTATGTTGTCTTTTGCATTATATACTTGGAATTGCTGACCATTTCGGCATAAATTTCATGAAATAAGAGCTGAGTGGAAAAGTGAACGTCCGCAAAAGCAATCAACATATTTCCGCACACGTTTAGAGTTTCGGTCTTTGGTGGAGATACCAAATGGATTTTTACCGTTTTTATGAGGGAAATACAACCTGAATTCCTTGGTAAATCACAACATTCGAACACCTGAGTTTTTCTTTTTCACTCTCAAGGCCATTTTTTCTATTCTTTTTTTTTATTATATCAATGATATTTCCGGCTTCATTCGAATTCATTTATTGAGATTGGTATTGAGTTTGTATCCGGAAATGTTTCAATTCAGGGTTTTATCCTAGAAGGAATAAATAATACCCAGAGTTTGGATTTCGAACTTCCAATTACATGAAAAATGAATACAGGGAGACGCGAGCTAAATTTGTTTCAGATAAGAAATTAAATATAAATTCTGTATAAAAACGGGTCAATATCCAATTTTATTTTTTTTTTAATAATTGCCACGCGAATAAGAATTATATTTTCAAAATATCCACCTGTTAAAAAAAACGTATTTATGGACTCACTAATAATGAAAACCGTATAAGTCTGTCAAGGTGATGTCTCAATATTTCCGAAGGATGCAGGTCGTTAATTCTCATAGGTTTTGCTTCATTGAACGCAACTAATGTTCATTGATAATTAGTAAGAACGCAACGAGAAAAACTCCAAGGGCAATAAGATGCTCCTAAGACTGGCTCTGTATATCAAACTCTTTCGAAATATTTTTGAAAATAGCTTTTTATATTTCTAGCTTGAAATTTAGTCTTATGACTTATGACTTATGAATTCGTGATGGATTTGTCATGCAAAGTATTTACAAATGTTACGGATTTTGGAGTCTTGAACATTCGTTCTTTGATGTTCCTCTCACTATATTTAACCCATTGAGTACCTCTTAAACATGAATCTGTCCGAATGAATAACGAAATGATTTATTATCCATTCTAAATTTAACTACTAAAGTCGAAGATTATATATTGCGTCACAACAATAATATTGAACGTGAAGAAGCAAATTTGAAAAAAGCTGTGGATTCTTAATTGCGGAAGTCATGCGAACAAAACCGGACTGAATGCGTCATTAGAAAAGATACAGATATTAGCAATTCTGTTACAAAGTATTAAACTAGGATAAGTGTATTTTTTGGAGACCAGTATTTGGCCGATAACTCGAAATTGAAGGAAAATGACGATTTTATAATAGATACCTTTTAGTTAGTTCTCCTTTTTTTCTACAAGAAATATTTATACGAAAAAATCGCTATGCTCCTTCAATTCTGAGATATTTATATTGAACTATATAATAGTGATCCGTGGGAAAAGTTCATCTTTTAAAAAGGAAATTTAATGGTTTAGTTCATTATTCTGTTATTCTTTTGCAATGGTGTCGTAATTACCCCAGTGTCAAAGTATTAATTGACTATCACTTGCGCGAGTGATTTCCGACATTGAATGCATATGTGTCGGTCAAGTTCATATGATTATAAATGCACATCTACATTCAAGTTTGATGAATATTTCCTAATACAAATACCTCTGATATCAATGCTACAGATGAAGACTTTAATTCTCTGAACAGATTGAATGCCAAAATTGACTCAATTTACAATTGACAATTGACTCAAAATGTGCCTTTTTAAAACCACTGATGAATGACTGAATCGAGACTCAGTTCCTACATCTGTTTCCAACATTTCTGGAAATTCTGAAAGATAAGGTGTTTTATTTAGAATCTCAACGAATTTTATACTTTCAACGGACAATTCCGCCAATTTCAATTCACTTGTCAATCCATTTTTTTCAATTCAATTCAACTCCAGGCGCTCCAGTTAAAAAAAATCTCGGACATATTTCGTAAATGATTCAGTCATATAAATGTCGCATGTTTTATCCATGTAAAAGAAACAAAAAAAAACTTATTTTTACGTTTTACTTATTTTCGGTAGTTATGCACAAATTGGTATGGAATATACTCACTTGACGATATTTTGGAACAACCACAATCCACGAAATGGTCAGGAACTTAGACACAAGTGACGAAGTATTCTCGTTATAGATTAATGCACAGCTTAAAGCGCATCAATAAGAATTGTGAGAAATGTCGAAAACTCTTGGAGAGTAAAGCATCTTTCGTTGACACGCGTATCCGGACTGCAAATAACTCGATCGAAAGTACTGTATCAGGGGGTATACATATTCTCACTACGACGGTTACTCGCAGACTGACGAAAACGTTCCTCAGCGTAACGTGAGTCGAGGCGATGTATTTGAAATAATTGACTTGTTGAAGATATATACAAATGATGACTACACATATATATATATATATATATACCCACTAGCTACTGAATATGCATAATTTTCCTACACGGCATATTACAGACATCAAACAGTGACGGGTAAAAAAAATGCATTAAATAACAAACAATTTAATATTGGGAGATTCACTGTTTAGTCATTAACGAATACGTCAATATCTATTCAGAGAGTAAATACTAAATGGATTACTCTGAAAAATTCAATCAATAATTAATAACTTTTACGTTTTCGTATTTTTCCGTGAATTTTACGTTTCATCCACGTAAATTATTTATAAATGTGACAGGATGAAGCGGTAGTGACTGAAAATTATTTATCGAAGAAAATACGTAGAATGTTGGAGAATAAAAAATTGAAGTTAAAAATTCTTAAAATCATTAAAAAATTTGTCTGTAATCCGCAAAGTGCATTTCATTCCAAGTTTAATATTGGAAACTGGGGATATAAAAATAGCTCTAGATATTCAATAGAAATCATTTAATAGAAATTCAATTCAATAATCAATTCCTACAGAACTCACTGAAGTTCTTCAGTTGAGTTCCCTGATTCTACAATTATGCATAGTATATATAATAATTCCATTAACAGTAACAATAACATAAAGGCAAAGGACGAAAATATGTGATTTATCCTAGATTGATTAAAAAAATACTTCAAGTTGACATTTGATATGTAAAGTATGAAGGAATGCTAGGAATTTCCGCCGCCATCAACGGCTCTATTGGATCTGCTAGAAGTTCCGTCTATAACAGCCCAATTACCAGTCTCAGACTCATTAATTTCTTGTTCACTAGCTCCAGGAGAAATATGGATAACACTGAAACCACAGAATCAGCAATTACTCATTTATCAACGATTTGCCGCGTAAAATTTTCAATTTACAAGATTATAATTATTGTTACTTACATTATCAACAACATAACAGAAATTTGCGTGGCAAAGGTGAGCCAATAAATAGCATTTGGTACTGAGTTGTAAGCCACATTGTACAATTGGGAGTATAAAACACCACTGAACAGTGGAACTGCATTATCGCAGACAGCGAGAACCGCAAAAACTTTTCCTAAAAAGTTCATTCAATTGATTAACTCCGTTCGAGCTCACCTGTGTTAATTGCGATAATTTGACGACATACCTCTTTCATTAACGGGCACTACTTTGGAGGTCATCGATCGTAGAACGGGTGCGATGACAGGTCCTAAAGCGGCCACAGCAGCACCTTGAATCGAAATTATGAGAATTTCATAGGCTATTCGATTACTGAACTTTGATGTTTAATTTGGCCGAGATAATTACCTGCGTAGAATACGTTGGGAGATAATGCCGAAGCGAATAGAATTCTACCACCAGCGTGGGACAATGCACCGATGATAACTATGTACGTGTCCTTCAAGCCCAGTCCTCTGCTCAGTGTTGGAGCACCGACTAGCATAGCTGTTTGGCATGTAATTACTGGATATGTTACTTTGTCCGGGTGAGAGCCATTAAACAAATTCAGGATGTAAAGATATTCTTGATATTGAAAAAAAAATGAATTTTCCATTTCAAATGATAATTGATGTATAATGAAACTTTCAATTTTCAACATTAAAGACAATTGAATTTTCAATGCATTAATAATTCAGTGATATCAGATACCAGTGAATCCAATTAATTCTACCCACCAGCAACAAACAGAGAAGACTGGAATGTCCTGAAATTGCTGAAATCTTTGACATCCCAATTGAAGAATCGCTGCGTGTAAAGATAGCTCATTGGTTTTTCATCTCTTTGGAAGGTGTAGAGGGCCATCGCAACAAAGAGAATCCAAAGGTGAAGTCTCGCGAACTTGGGCCGCCTGTTGGTTAGTGTTTTAAATGTGGCAATCACGTGCTTTTCATCGAAGAAATCCGTAAAGGGATTGACGCCATTGAGTGGCTGTTGTCGCGGATTTGTCTGCCACTTCAAGACAATCAGAGAGTAGATAACAGAAAGAACCAAGAGGGATGTATTGATCGTAAACATTATAGCGTAGGAGCCGTCAAAGACTCTCGTAAAAAGATACGATCCCAGGGCGATTCCTAGAGATAGAGCAATCTTAAGTTAAACATTGACATTGAACATTCCTCTTGGGTCATAATATCATCAATCGTGGAAATTTACCTGTCGGCATCGTGCTCAGGTACACAATATCTAAAAGAGTAACTCGGAATGTTCTTCTTTGTACGGACGATACATCGGAGATGTAAGCGAAACAACTTCCAAATATCGCGACATCTCCTCCCAACATTCCCATCGGGATGCTTGCAGTGTAAATAATCATGAATACATCCCAATTTGGCATCAATGCATTTACCACCACCATGCCTGAGTAGATGACTTTCCCCATCAGGCCAATGACCAGTGGCAATTTTCTGCCTCTCCTGTCGCTCCAATTTCCGAAGAACAGTGCCAAGATTATCGGCATCACATGTCCCGCGATATTGTTCCATTGGTGAAAGTCCGATACCGTCAGCTGAATTTATTAAATACCACTTTACTATTTTCATCATAACGTGAATATGAAATATGCAGTGATGTCATATCTATTTTTTTTTTAAATCATTTGATAATTGAATATTTCAATTATTCCACAGATTTCCCTTGAAGCGTCCACTAGATAATTTCTTTCAGATTTAAAAAATGTATCGCAAGGATTCATAATTAGAAATAAACTTTCTAACTTGAGTCATTGAGTTTGCAAAAGTTTAAAAATTTACAATCCAATCGATTTAATAGTAGACAAAAGTAAAAGATTAATTTCCAATCAATTGATTTAAAATAGATGGTGCATCACCTGGACTATGTCCTTGACAGTTTTGTTGGCACTAATGTTCTTGCAAGCTTCTTCCGAGAAGCCATGGTTGACTCGACAAGCCTTGTGAACAAAAAATGCTTGTTCAATCACCGACGTCACCATATAAGCCATCATGTACAGCCACATGGTGGGTTCCACAGATACATACGTGATCCACCTGAAGTACTTCTCCAGAATTCCATGGGGACGATGATTCCCAGCATCACCAGGCTAAAGCAGAAGTGAATTCTCATAATTCTGATGACACACATCCAGAAACAACGAAGACTGACCTCATGATCTGTTTCATAACAGTCTGAGATAAACAGTTTTGGTTAACAATTCTCAGTCATAAATGCTGATCATTAATTCTGATCGATTAAAAAATGAATTGGATGTATGAATTGCATTGAGTTGATGGAAATCTCCCTACCTGTGCGCTTAAGGTATCCATGTATGTAAGCGCGACTGATTCCAGAGTAGTCAATAACTTAATAATGTTTTCAGCACAATTTCTTCGTCTCAGTGGAATTCAACTGACTTCTAAGTTATTCAAAAGATAACTGCTCATAGGTTTCCTCATGTTTCCAATGATTGTAATACCATCTGTAAACGTAAAACGAATAATGCTGATTATTGCTTTAAAAGCTATAGTCAGTGAAATTGGATATTCTTATAACTGATAAGACACTTATTAAGCCTATCCATTTCGACCAGTGAAACTACTCCGTCCTGGTTATCATTATTACTCGACTTTCGGTAGGAGTGGGATCACTTATCTCTACATTGATGTCAATTTAATGTACGTTACTTCAATGAAACCGCAAGTCGATGATTATTGTCAAAATATATTCATGGCACGTCCAGATGATTTGGAGTTTTTATTGAATTTTTAAGTCAGATTGCGTGATGAAAGATTACTCACTGGTTATGAAATACCACAGCGTAATTCAGGTAGACCTGGAATATCTCCTTTGCAGGATAAAAGAGAGTCTCGTGGGTGAAAAATAACTGGTAGTCTTGGTATTGCCTTTATAACTCTCATTGTACGACACTTTTATCTCAATTGAATTATCCGGTTTATCGACTACATGATCTATTTGAAATTTAGTCGGTTAATTTCAACCATTGGACCACTGTAGCCAGGCAACTGCCAAACACGTGTTTCAACTTTCAATGGAAGTATTTCAGTACGTATGCTCAGTACTATGGGTGCGCGCGCATTTACTATAGGGACTGAGTGTTCCTTTCTATTGATTGGAGTTGGTCAGGTGCGCATGCACTGCCAGTACTTATCGCGTTCAAAAAAAAAAATCCCATGATCTCATTCAACCAGTTTTTGCAATTCTACTTTATCGCTTCTATCATTATTAATTTTTCTTATTTTTTAAATTAGATTAAACTATTGAATATGCTTGAGGTTGATATTTACTGGAGTATGGAAGTCGAGATAAATAAACACTTTGTCGTGTGGAAGGTAGAAGAGAAAAACTCGATCGAGTGATTCATCACATCATTTTATTCAAAAATTTATTTCACGAACTGGATGATAAAATTTGTCAATTGCACAATTGAAGATGGCGAATTGTTCCATCGGACAAATAAATGATTGCAAGAGTTGTTTAATTGAGAAATAATGTCAATTTTTCGTTAGGCCTTGAAGATACATCAAACATTGTGTACAGATTTTAAAATTCTAAATAATCTAAATAATTCGTTATAACTGTAATAATACTATCTTTCCACTAGAACAATTTAATGATCAGTTATTGACTATTAGGTGGGACTTGCGGTACTTTCGAGTCAATGTTAATTGTAATTCGTTTTTTTTTAATTCAAAACGCCACATGCTGTTCCATTATTTTTTAAACTTAAATTTAATTGTGTTCATTGAGAGTTTCGCACTTGGTCAAAGCACAAATAGAGTAGTAATTTGGACGCTGAAATATTCGATTGACAGTTAATAATTTTTTTCATTTGTTGGGCATATACAGACAATTTGAAGGTACTTAGTAATATTAAGTAATATGTATTAATTAACATCTTTATCACATATTTATCTTTAGTACGCGTGACACACTCACATTTTGAAACTTAAAATCTATTGCTTCACATTTAACCAGTCAGGCACATTGAAATAGCACACGCTCTGCCAAATATTGATGATATCGCATCTACCACATGATAACAATACATTATGCATTATGGTCACCGTGGTAATGTGATATATTCAAATAGTATCTGAGATTTCATTTTCTCAATCTGAATTTGAAGAGCGCTATGAATATAATTTTTTCTTATTTCACATAGATAGCGCACAGAAGTTTCTCTCATTTTGCCTAAAGTCGCACTCGAAGATGAACTGTATACATTCAATTTATCTCCCTGTCTCATCCCAATAGATAAATATCTCTAACTTTATCCCCCTAGAGCCGTGGTCCCCAAACATGAAATTCCAATCTAAGCAACGATCATAGAATTGATCATACAATTCGTTGTATTAAACTTCACCACCGTGCCACAGTCCAATTCATCATCTCTATTGACTAGAATAATATTTTCCAATATTTATAGCACCAAAAATAAGTGCACCACATGGCGCATGGAATGTGCGGAAAATGCTGAAACTTCATTATCTGTTTCATCTAAAAATAAATATTTGTTTCTGTTTTCTTATCCAACTATTGTTTAACAAAGAGGCCTGTTTAGTAACATTGGACTAGTAATAGACAATGTGATTATCATAATTCAACCTGTGGTATTTACAATGCCGATGGATAGGCATCATGGAAGAACCCATTCAATTCTCTTTCAGCCGTTAATCTAAGATGTGGTTAAAATGTTCAATTCAACGATTTTAATATTTGAATCATCGAGCACCAGCCATGGTCATTGTCATTATCATTGACTGCTGCTTAACACTATCTCCCAACTTTGGTCGTCGATAGGACAGAATGTACAGAGAGCTCGATTATCGTTTGGCGTTACACAATTCAATCTACCAGTCGCGCTTGCTGATAACTGCTCAGAGCTGTTCATGACTGCTCATGACTAACTTAGGACATCGTTAAGCGGAATATCGCATTCCCATGCCCACGTCTCTAACATTAATACGCAATCTACAACAATCGCCTCGGCAGTACAGACCAGTTGAGAGTGATTGAGAGCTTGTATCCAAGAGTACGAGTCAAACTATAATAAAAAATATAGATATTTCACTGGGCAGATGTGCGTAGTTACATCCAAGATTTAATGAATCACCAAGTTGGATATCAATTTGCTTTCCATAACTGGCGCAATCCCTTGACTCGTCATTTAATCTAAAAGTATTACATCGAACATCATCAGTCATTTACATTTACAACCGATAGGATAGACATCCTGGAGACATCTAGCTTGTGAAAGTAAATCGGCATTACTGCTCTCACAAGGTAAGCCCGTGAGTTGAATTATTTATCATTTCGACATTGTTATCGAGATGTGCAGCATCATTTTCGAGTATAGTAGTCATCTTGGAGGGATCGGTGGGTCCATCGAGAAAATACGTGACCATACTGCCCTTACCCTTAACTTGAATAGTTCCTCGACAGGTGAGTGGATAGCCCTTAGGATAGAGTATATCACGAACCTCTTGGGTCACCTGAATACTGTCAAGTACACCGGTTGAATCCATTCTCGATGCAACATTGACAGCATTACCCCAAATATCATACTGGGGCTTACGTGCACCAATCACACCGGCAACGACAGGTCCTATATTTATCCCTACCCTCATCTTGAAGTTATTGAAACTGTGCTCATTCACGTAGGCCAATTGATCGCGTATCCGTAAAGCATAATCAGCCATTGCCGTCACGTGTTTGAAGTCTTTAGTGTCCCGAGTGCTCTTAGTAAGGCCTTAATTAAAAGTTCAAAACGATTAATGAATTGTTTAAAACGTTCATCCTCCGTCAGTGGATATTAATAATGGATAGAGCACAGTACCTGACGCTGCCATGTACGTTGAGCCCGTGCTTTTGATCTTTTCAATGTACTTGAACCGCTCTTCAGCGAGTAATTCATCAAAGTCCGCAATGATTTCATTGAGCAGCCTCAAACATTCAACCCCTTCATTATTGGCCTCGAGCTCGACATAGAATTCGGAAAAGTTGGGAATGGACGCAAACATTATGCAGACAAAGTCACACTGTTCATGATAGAGTTCCTAGAGGGTGTGAAATACAGGTGAGTACATTGTGTCAGAATAAATTTGGCTAATGTATGGTAATTACTAACGTCAGTGTTGAATGTAGAGAGAAAATGTGTTGCAACATGCTCAGGTAGAATATTAGCGAGTAGTTTCTGATTGTAGGCTTTGAGATGCTCCATCTCCTCCTTCTCCTCGGTTGCCTGGAGTTTCCACAGGAAATCAAGGCGATATGTTGCCTCCGTGTGTTGAGAGTGGGCGACAAGAAATGCCATGAAAAAAATCACCAAAACACCGGCCAACCATCTACCAGTCTGGTCGATGTTCTCCTCGTTGAGTGCTTGATAGATACTAACCGATAAATAACAAGCAACGACAATACTCAATACAGCCACTTTGAAGACCGACGTCAGTATCTGATAGACAGCGCACGTTATCATTACTAGCATCACCAGCACTGGAAATAACTGAAGACAGAGTTGAAAATTCATGATGCAGATTAATCATCCTTGGCATTTGTTCAACAATTCAATTCAACAAGGCAAACGCAACTCGAGTGTACTTACATCCGTGAATAATGTATAATAGCAGGGTCCTGGAGAGATAGGAATGCTTTGAACTACAACCGAAGAATTGTCGTGAGACGCTGTGGGAGATGTGTTGTTGCGGCAGATATCATTGTTGTCGAGGGTCACCAAAGGGGACAGAACTGTTATGAATGTGAGAAAGACAACAATTGAGGCGATACTCTGTGCCACCATGCGATTTTCAAATATAGAAATTGCCATGTTCCTCATGCATTGTGGTACTCTCTCGTTATTCTCAGCCAGTAGGATTACATTGATTCCAATAATTGTCAGCAAACTCACACCGGTGCACGCATAAAAGTAAATACTCCCAGTTAAGGTTATTGCTATTGCAACAACAACAACAATGTAAACAAAACCAGAGCAGACGAAGTACGCCGATAGCATACGATCGCGCTCCCTCGAATACTTTTCCTCAATATCGGGCCGCCTAAATGTCAGGAGAAATGGTGTGCAGTGTTCAGCACGTAATCTGTCTATACTGCGTGCATCAATGGCCCTCATCAGATACTCATTCACTTCATCCTCGGGATCTTTCTCACTTTCAATGGTTTCACCGAAGCCAAGCTTTGCGTGCTTTCCATGCTGTGACCCATGACCCATCATTCTCATCTCCTTGGATATGTTACCATTCGCTGGATAGGGTTTTTTCATGTTGGGGCTCGTTACGTTCTCCTTGAATGTATCACCCGGTACTATTAGGTACGTCTGGATGTTGTGATCCTTCAAGTAAGTATTGCGTTCGCCACCGTGACCCTCTTCCACCTCGTAATCACCACCGAGACAATCCAGGGTTTCTTTTGTTATATGTACACGCCTGGAGGTATTTCAAATGTTATTTATTTATGTGTCTGTTTATCTAGGAGATTGCTTCGCCTCACTCACCCTGGGATACCACCGCTTTCCATATAGTTTGCCAGAGTTACGTCATTACTCCATACATCAAACTGCCATTTACGGAGGCCTAAAACCCCACAATGGACTCGTCCAGTGTGGATGCCAACTCTCATGTTTACGTTCACAGCCATAACTTCACGGACCAGTCTGAAATAGAGTTGTTATGATAGGCTATGATAGATTAGGTGCTCTAGAGTTACTGCTGGGCTTTTTAATAGTGAATTTTCAATGCTCCGTGGAAAAGTTGATAGGGTAACTATGGAGGAGAGAGAGATAGGTATCTCGTTAAATGTGAACAATGCCCAGGAAACGAGAGCATTATGGGCTCGTTCAGCTAGTGGTGTGGCCAGTTGTTTCGACGAGGCTGTAGCTCTTCAATCTGCCTTAATTATCCAGCCTCCCACCGGCAAATACTAGCCCTTCAGAACACTATTATTCTCCCCTTTGCCAGAACAAATGCTGCTGCATTTGTACGTCAATTTGTACATAATCCCTTGGGAACACATGCAAGTTATTCAATTTTTGGAGCAGCATTACTAGGGATGATGAGTTGTGAATGTTCAATGCGTCCATCAGCTGGCTTCGGGGATGTGGGTGATTGTGTCCGACAAAGCCTTTGGTTTGATATCACAGTTAATTTTTATTCGGCTATTCAGGGATTCATGTCAGTGATTTGGCTATTCATGTTTGTATTCAAATTTTTACTGTGGAAATTACATTTTTCTCCATGAAACGACTGGAGAGATTGAAATATAGTAGAGGGAATTTAAAAAGAGTGCAGCCAATGCTATGATTATTTGTCAATACATTCATCAATTTATTCAAAAACCACGTGCAATTGAAAGTTCACATAGTCTGGGAGCAGGATAACAGCAGGAAATAATTTCAAAGCAATCAAGTAATTCTCATACATATGATTAAATTGGGGATTGATAATTGCTACATTTTTTTTGCCTTGTCGACCTATTCGTCGAGGCAAGAAAGATTATAATGCCCTATTTCACGCGCTAATTAATGGATTTTTCAAATATTATTCCTCTGCTCCTATGCTATCTGCAATCCAACAAATCATTGCTAAATTAATTCACCCGTGTATTAAAAAATATTCATATTATTGGTCGTTTTTAATTTTTTTTATTCCCTCTATCTAACCCGCTTCAAATATATTTTATCCTTCAATTATATTGGATTAAAGCATCAGGTATTGAGTCGACATGTTGAGTTTATTAAGTGGAATATAAACATGGAACCGAAAATAACAAGTTATCCGTGAAATTGGAATATCGGCGAATCCATCTGTGGGGATTCGATATTTTTTTTAATATGGAATGCGAATCATTAAGAGGGAATATCGCTCGGCTGTACTTACGTGATAGCATCAATCATGTCTAGTCCCATTTCAACGCAACAGTGAGCATGATCCGGTCTAGCTTCGGGCAGACCTGATACGCAGTAATAACAATCCCCAAGGAGTTTGATCCTCAAACAGTAGTGTTCAGAAGCGAGACGATCAAATCTGAAATTGACACGTGATTATTACAGATGACACCTCAGCAATGATTGCTCTTAACGGGATACATTTGATAATGTACATATTTAATCACTCTATTCCGTATTAATTAATTGCGGAGAGTATCAATTTGGGAGTAGCATCTGTTTTGTTGTCTTGGGAAATATACTTCCGTTACCGCAACAGTTGCCAAGTTAACTTTGGAGTACAAAGCCTTTAAACTAACACACCTCTGGAGGTTTGTATCTCTGTTGTCCTGATTTCATTGCTACGTTAGTGACCTGACTCCACCTCTTCAGGAATTTCGAGATGCTGTGAGATATATGTCAGAGGCGGGACAGCCATTGCTCAAACATCTTTTGATCTCGAATTATCCCGAGTATTTCACTCTCGAGTTTTTGTTGAGGTTTTTTTTTTATCGAATCTTTGTGATGCATTTTTCTTTATGGGAGCATAGGAGAGTTGTTGGTTTGTTCAGAGATAAAAGGACATGAGTTTGGATATGATTCTGCTGGAGTGATGTGCGGGCTGCTGTTTTCAATGGAGGGAAAAGTTCTCAACATCAAGTTTTGTATTTGCACTGATTCCGTTCGGATTTGTTGGTATGTGCTGAGAAAAAGTTTGACAAATGGGGGATGTTATTGCAATTCCGTTGAGGTAATTGGCTATTTGGATTTAACGGTTTGAGAGAATCTGCAAAAATTACAAGAGTCGAGGACTTCTATTCTTCATTTATTTTCAATACTCGAGTGGATGTGAATATTCACATGATAAATCGAATGAAACACGAGTTTCTACTGAACATAAAATTCAATAAAATTCAATTACTTCAATAAAATAAAATAGGTTATTGTCGTGTGAAGATAAAATCGAGTGTTAACACTTTCATTCACTTCTCGATAATTTCCACCGTTTCCACTCTCGAATGGAAAACAGATTTATCCAGTTAGGAAATATTCAATTACCGGTAACCCATTTTTTACTTTATATAAATAAAGTCCATCGAATCAACTCAAAAAAATGGAGCAGACACCTCAGACTTGTTCGTCAATTAGCACCAATTATTTAATTATGCTGATAAATTTTTACACAAGTCTGGATTGAAGATGGAGGAAACCTCACGCTGAAGTCGTCTATTAACCGGTAAACTCGTAATGGATGGAGCGTCGTGCTAACATGAAAATAGGATTACAGGCGTAAGCACTGAAATATGCATAACTGTTGCAATGCTCTGTACTTCCGCGCCCCATTTCCGCCTCGGGGGGATGAAAAAAAAAAAACTTTCCGCTGCAAGTCACTTTTTTTCTGTCTCCTTATTTGAATTATTTAGCGACTATCGATCGACTTATCAAAGTTTCAGTGGGATTATTTAAGATGGAAATTCGAGGCACATTGATTTTCCCTCATATTCACTTCTGTGATTCCCCGGAATTTATCTTTCCAACCGATTTCACTGCTCTAGGTTCTATCATTGCTCAGTTCAATTGATCTTATTGGATTTTTCAAGGACATGTATAGGTGTAAATTTACCGGAAATCGGGAGGTGTTCATTACAAGTTCGGGGGGAGGTTTTCATGAATTCAGGGAAATTGAAGTGAATAGGGGGAATTGATTGGCCCAATACAAATGTTTGTTTCATATCAGCCATTTCTATTCATAGACGAATTTGAATATTCAGTTAATATTGATCGGTACTTCGGATGAGTGGATTGGTTTTAGGACAAAATGAATGTCAATGGTGTAGGGTGGAAAAAAATATTGGGATTCTAAAAATCGTTTTCTGTAAAAACAGGATGAGAACTTTGAACGTTCGTGAAATGAAATAATTATTATTTCACATTCATTCATATTTTTCGTAATTCCATACCGAAAATTGCAGTAAAAAATTAATATCCCGTTGGTCACGTGAAAATAGAGATTAAAGAAAAGTATTTAATTATAGTTACTGTACCATTCGTAAATACTGCGCATTTGTAAAATCCGAGAGTGAGTTTTATGGTGGCAGAAACACAATTAATTCAGGCTGTCTCTCTTGCGATTGCAGGACCTTCAAGGTCTATCAGCTCATAATTTAATTAAATTCAGGAATCATCGGAATTTCGTAATACCATGCACCCAATTAATCGTGATAAAATCGCCAAATAGTTGTTATAATAATGGAATTGAAATAAACATCTCGTTATACTAGTTTCCACGCGAATAATTTCTGTTGGAATGTTATGTGAGAATATCCTCGCTGTATGTATTTATGCGTTGAGTGAGTCTTGTGTAATAATTTCAGTGACGCATTGCTAGTCGAATTACTCAGTGATAATCGTAGACTAAACTACCACTGAAAACAGAAAATCATTGTTGTACTATCATGTGCGTCGGCCCCTCTCCTCTCACAGGGTATTATCAGATATCAGAAATACAATTGATCTATCACCACTGCCGTCATCTGTAATTCAACGTGGATTAAATGCATTGGTATAATTCATGCGTGTCCATCACTGTCTTCAATGCATGTCTCGTTGAATAGAAACGGTAATTTCATTACGTACTTGTAGTATACCAGGGTTTAACGCAATTCTACACATTTTCTGGTATTTTCCACGAACATAAAAGTTGGGGAAAATTACATGACAACTTACGTAATCGCAGATGAAATTATCTTATTTCGATTTTTTAACGGAAAATTTGGAAAATTTTGCCGAATAGAAAATTCAACGAGAATTTCATTTCATTACATATTAATAAATCATTGTGCGCAATTTTTCAAGTGATCGACATTGAATTATTTAATGTTTGCATCAAAAGAAACGGAAAACGTGAGTTGAAGGGACAAGAAATAATATTTGAAATTCTGAGTCGTAAACCCACAAGAAGAAACTATTTTATTTGTCGTAAAAATTGTTAATGGTTATCGGGATATTTCGAGTGAAAGTTGCGCGTCTCTTCGGGGACAAAGTGCATCAAGTTTGCCCATAATCCGCTATTGTTCGCTCGTCTCAGTAATATTTCTTCTCTTATTTTGAAGATCTCGGTAAAAACTCTGTATTCTTCATCCCAAGCTTTGGATTTCGAATCAATGAATCACTGTGGTTCACTGGAGCTTGAGAATGTCTCGTCTTTGTCGACTTTCCACCATTGTCTGTTCTTTTTTCACTTGTCTGAATCCACATGAGTCATACGTAGTTTTGTCCGATAATTAGATTAGATTTATCCTCGTCTTTCTACATTTCACCGAGATCAATTAAAAATTCGGGTGATTATTCGGTACGTGGGTTTAACATTGTTTTTTATTTCTGTAGGACTCCATTGTTATTTCGCTAATTATCAACCACTCGGATGTAGAAACGCAGAAAATTATCTAATTAAAAAATTATTAGTTCTGTAATGAATTTTGCTTTCACGTTCGACACTTTCAGATATTGAGTGAAAGTTCATGTTTTATTGCTCCTTAAATCATTATAATTTTTCTGTCAAATTATCGATGGGATCGATGTGAAAAAATATAACGTTTTGCCATTCTATTATTATTTTATGACTCACGAATTTTCGTGGTGGTGCGATAATTTAATCTCATTTATTCTACAGTTTTGTGATTATTTTTTAAAAGTTCAAAAAAAATGTGAGTCACTAAATAATAACAAAACGCAAAAACGTGATATTTTTTCGCATCAATTCCATCGTAAGTTTACCAGAAAATAAAAAGAACGTCAATTTGAATAAAATGACTGTCCGTAAAATAATAGAACTGAATTCTAAATTACAAAGCATGAAACTCCGATTAATCTGCTGCTAAAAAATGATAGATTCCTTTGAATTTCGAGTAAAGCTTGGCTTTTAATTAATCTTCACCCTGGAAATGAAATTCAATGCAACTTTTTTAGAGACTATGGTCAGGGGATAGTAGAATTAGCTGAGGACTTTTAGCTCTCTCTGCTGACTGCCTCACCACTTTAATACCACATCCTTAAAATTCAAATAATCCTTTTAGATGCAAAAATAGGGAAATCTCACCTAGCAAAGAGTTCATTGAGCAGTCGCACGAGTTCCTCTGCGGTGCATTGATCGGATAGTGACGTGAAGCCACATATATCCGCAAACAGAATGCTGAAAAGACAACCAAAACACATCGCACATTACATATCCTTATTTGCATGGTAAGAGAAAGCCTTGTCCCTTTCCCAGTTTCAAATACACCGACTAAATTCGCACGGTTCACCAGGGACACATACCAGTGTTAGACCCGAGGGATCGCATGACAGGAAGGAATAAAAAAAAAAAAAACCCAACTAGTCTCTCCGTGTGGCAATTTTTTGGGGAAAAATGGAAAAACATAAATCAGACTTGTGGTGTCCCTGAAACATGTCTCTTGTCAATAAATTAAATCTCTTTCATCAATTTTGTACCGTCGAACGCGAAAACCGAAATCTGGCAGTGGGGAAAAGTTACCATTGTTTGAAATTTCAAATGAAAAATTTGAACTTTTAAACTATTACCATTTAACAATGAATAAGAAATTCCGTGAACTTTTTCAATCGAAAGTGAATTCAAAATCATGTACTCAAATCTCTCACAGAATTTGACAAATTACACTATTGTGGATGTTCAGAACTTTAAATTATTTTTGTTAAAAAATATTGGAATTTCTACTTTTTAAAAATGCTCACAGTGACTCCCAAAAATCAATAATGGCTATTTGAAATGATTTTTATTGCTATAAATCGTCCCCTCAGTTTTCCTAGGCATGACTAATCGATACGAATTTCAAAAGCAACGAAATTTGAAATTCCTTTGAAATCAGAATGACAAGTGGCTATTTCCTTCAGAAAACAACATCCCACAATTCCCAAAAGCCAATAACATCCACTAGGGAGTCAATACACACTCACTGAACACTGTAATATAACAAAAATAATGATTGCACATAACAAATTTACCCATGGCGCTTGTTCAGTGAATTGAATTACGAGTTATACAAAGACTACGTTGAAAGTTGTTTTATAATTTAGTTCAACCCCACTTGGACCTCGTTTCCTCCATTCTGATCTCTTGGAATGACTCTTGTTTCACCGAGAAAGAGAGATGGCGTAAAAAGGCCACCAGATGAAATGAAAATAGCAACATGACAGACAAGATGAAAGGAAAAATCACCACCGAGTGAACAAAAAGAAAAAAAAACAATTAATAAATATTACCTGACATTCTCGTGTCTTTGAATGTAGATTTTATGAAACATAGTGTCCTTCGGTTTTCCGGCAATATCGGCCTTCATTTCCATCGCAACGTGTCGTGGTAATACACTCAATAACAATCGTTCCTGGAAATAGAAATAATCAACAATCCTGTTGTACAATTACCAATTATCAATGCGGTAAATTATTTCAGCGAAATTAACGTGATTCTCAAAAACACTTTCATTACTTCACGAATGAGTTACACAATATCTGACCCACGGGGATTCACTGGGTGATATTCATGGATGATATATTCATGATTCACGGTGGCTGTATCGGTTATTGTTTGACAAAATCTGGGAATTGGAGGTGGTCGGAGGAGAAACTCGTGTGTTGATTGTGGTGGATCACACACTGGAATAACGATAATGCAGTTACATAGCGCAGAGAGTTTGCTTGGTTTAATGATTCGATGGGTCATCAATTTGTTTTCAAAGGGGTTTCGTTGTATTTCGGGATTTATCTCTTGGTCAGCAACAAATGATTGCTGGATTCCCAATTTCAGTGGGAGATACCAAAATTAATTGACTGAGCGATTTGGAACGAGCCGTGATAAAAGTTCTTTTTCCCACATAGAAAGCGGTATGTACGCCCTAAATATGTGCCAATTAACGCACATATATGTCCGCCAAAAATTCAAATATAATTATCAGGATATTTCCATTGCGATGACAAATTCAAAATTTGCATTTGAAGTAATCCACGATAGCCAATGGAATTTAATTATTTTTCACTTCATATCCACTGTGATTGAATACTTTATTTGTTGCTAATGGATTTCGTTAATTATTAACAACCAGTGGTGGTGAGTATCAGATTGTGAACGCTCGTTGGTTCAGACGACTCAATAGATCTCTAATATTCATTTATTAACTATTAACAAATGACCATTTGCAGGAACCAACTATATTTATTAACAATGACTGATGCTTTGCAGTGGTAATTATAATTAAACACCGCTAATGACTCGTTGGATGAACATCCATTAGAATTGAATCAATTTCAATTTAATTCTCTGACAAAGTGGTAAACTGGAGAAGTCAATTAAGTCGACGCCAATTTATTGAGAATATCTCGAAATCGAGGGGAGATAGAGATATTTTTATAGATACCTTTCTTGTAGCTCGTATCTGTCTTTACAAATAATGTAATTATGAAAATATCGCTATCTTCCTTCAATTCTGAGAAATTCCTTGGAATACGACGAAGTCCGGAGACAGATAAACCAGACGTCAGAGGAAAAGTATTTTCCTATAATTGGAAAGACCGATTAAGACGATTACGAAGAGTAACATAAAACATTCTTGTGAATATTTGGAAGATGAGCAAGAAGTAGATGAATTCTTGCAATTCTTTGAAAGGGTAATAATTCCTTTTCAAAATTTCCAATATCATAATTGCAGGGAGATGATGCAGTAAAGTAATATTAAGAATTAGCATGATATCAGCTGAGTATGAAATAGGGTCTAATCACAAATTCTCTCTCTCTTTGTATTGTACACCGAATTGTGTCTCTGTGAGATCATAAATAGCCTTATTACGCAGATGGAGTAATGGATCCTGACACTGACCATTATCCTTATTTGAAATTCTCTCTTCGTTGTGTCTGCCGAGTTTCCAAGTCTGTTTCAACTTTCTCAATTCTCCAGAATGTCAAGGAGATCAAGGGACTCATTGAATGGGGATAATTGTGCGGCATTATGTGCATGCATAATAGTTCCGTGATGAAACTGGCCAAGTTCAATCATCCTCGATAAAAAAAGAAGATCAGATCCGTTAGATTTAATCTTCATCATAATGGAATGGAGCTTCCGAATTTTGTGATCGGAGTTGCTGAAGGGAACACTAACCAGTCACAGGGAAATCGCCGTTAATTACACCTTGATCCGTTCCGAAAGTTAATTCATACTCGGGTCGAAGACTCATGCATATGCAAATAAGAAGTGATTCTCATCGTACTTCGGTGAGTTATTAATTATTTATGAGGGATGTCAACTAGCGTAGCAGCCGGGGTGTACTATACGTGGGCAATCCTTCGTGACTGAAATATTTTTACTCGAGTGTTCATCAGAATGTCAATGTTTCCTCACAATATGATTTTTACATGCGTCGAATATTCGAGGTTTATGGACCTGTGCTCCCACGATATTCACAAAGAAATTTATTTCTATATTTCTTGTGTCGGGTGAGGATCGAAAGAGATTTGCGTGAGTGTTTCGAGTTTCTAGAGAAACTGCACCCCAAATTTGGGGATATATTTTCAAAATTTTCGCTATACGTGTCGTTTACACCGAGATTTAGCGAATTAGCGAATTTTTGGAATGGAAAATTTCTCAATGTACGGGAGACTCGGAATATTCTGAATTTCCTGTCGACATAAAGGGAATTCCAGTAAACATGTTGTTTACTTTTCAATTAATTAGAAAGTCAGTCTGATATGGCACTGAATATTCACATATTGATTAAAAATTCAAATCAGTTGAGAAACTTCAGTGAACTTCAGTCAACTCTACTGTTTACAAATTCCGTGAAACTTGAAATTGCATGAGGTTTACATTCTCAAGTGAAATTAACTTGAGAAAAAAAATTTCACTTCCAATCTTCAGCCACAAATTCGTGGCTTTTTTAAAAATCCAACAGCGAATTTGATCATGAGTCTAAGTCGGTAATTCCGTCTGCTTATAAATTATTTACTCTCCTTAATTCACGAGAACGAGAACATTAACGAGATTTATTGAAAAAAACAAAAACATTTGTTATTGCTCCCACGATTGTTCCATGAAGTTCATCGGAGCAATATTTTATATTCAAGTAGTTCTGAATATTTAGAAAATTTCCATAAATAAAAATACAGAGCCATCGCCTGTCCTCAAAGACCAAACTACTGAAGACTTTATTCCAAGAAAATAAATATCCCGACCAGAATAAAAAACGCCAAGTGATTTTGAACAGTTCAATAAAGAATAATAAAAAAATCACAACGACTGAACAATAAAAACGGGCACGAGGTTTCCATTTGAGTTTTTGCATCGACCTAAATTATATTGTCGGACATTTTATTTTTTACTTATTCGCAGAAAATAACGTCTAGTGATAAATCTGGGATAAACGATCGGATGCTCAAATTATTCGTGAGTAGAAGAGAGATGAAATAATTTTACATTACACCGAGTGGAGAGGATTGATTTCACTGTGAGTTGCTGAGCACTAGATTCCAAATACAATTTCCCCCTAGCTCCAGTAAAATCTATGTTCTATGTAATCCGAGGAATTTAATAGTGAAATGTAAAGTGAGAAGGATTAATATGGGAAAGGGTGAAACGTAATTTTCATATCAAGTTATTCACGATATGAATACCTGTTGCTGATTTTCTCGTTGTGTGGTCAGCCGGGCTTCGACGCATTGACGTGTTTCCAGGAAAGCTTGTCTCTGAGCTAGCTCCCGGGGATGATGCGTTAATGCACCAGCCACGTTTGTACCACCCACTACAACAATTGAGCTCAATAACTGAAACATAAATACATAAACTTTTATTAAATATCTGTTTCACCCAAAGAGAAAAGCATTTTATGGCAGCCTACATGCCTCAAATCTTCCATTTCACTTGAAACTTTCAATAAAAAAAATGATCAATAATGAATTTTTCATCAACGAATCACTTAATTTCTATGATGGACGTAAAAATTCAAGCTTACACTCAAAAGTAAATTTTCATTTACCAGAAAAATCCGATTTCAACTGCAATTGAATTCAAACGATTTATATATTTGGAATAAAATTTACAGAGTTGAACATTCAACTGACATGGCTAGGAAAATTCCAAGGAATTTTCAATGGTATTGTATAGAAAGGGAGAAGAAAAAAAAGTGAAAAAAAAACAAAGGATTCATAAAAAAAACAGTGACCCTTTCTCCTGGTTAAATAGACTGTTCTGAAACGTGTCGGACTAGAGTCCGGGCTATTCTACTTCCTGAAAGGACTGAGTAGTGAGGTTCACCGACGCTGTGGCCTCTATTACACATTGTATCTGGTAGCATGTTGTACCTCTAGTCGTGCAAGTTGGGATTTTCATTTTCTAAAAATAGACAGTCTGAGGTTCAACCACACCGGGTTTGTTTCAACGGTGGTGGGTTCCACTCGATTGCACCCCCAACTTACACCACCTACTTGGTACCAGCTCCTCTTCAGAGTAAATCCCAGGGCGAATGCCTTCCCATGCTAAAATACCCTATTCGTGACTCCAATCCGCACGAGTGCTTTTTTGTCCTTGAGATGAGAAAGAATCGTCTTAATAAATAGGAAATCAACCTCTGGCCAGAATAACACATTCCACATTCGTCAGTTCTACGATCAGAAAAATTATCCCTGAAAAAATAGACCACAGAAAAAATAGACCAATGTTAATTCTCCTATAGTTTATTAAGTTCCGTGGGTTTTAAGTTTTTCATGTGTGGGTTTTTTTTTCTGGTCTATTTATTCTATCGACAGGACTCACTATTGCAGATGAAAAAATCCAGGAACAACAAAAGTACTGTATGAGATGTGTGAAATTCGTGATGTTATTTTGTCGGTAGCTGAGCTTTTGCGGGCATTTTCCATTAAACCGTGGGGTTTGAACCGTCGGGTGAATAGTGACAATGAATAGGAGGCCAGACGAGTCAACACGAGACGAAAATTAACCAACGATTCCCGACAATTGCCCATGTAATGGTACGACAGCCAAAGTGTACGTGCATGAAAATTTTGCATCACCCCCTGGTGCCCCTGGAGTCGGCTGTTGGCTGTTGGCTGTCTCTGTGGCAGAGCCAAGGTAGATTATTGAGTTTGGTGAGGTTCCTCCGACACAGAGAGAAAGCTAAGTATAAAGGTACAACTATAGACCTGTTGGTTGGAACACAAGGGTCGAAGAGTAGTATTCACGCCCGTTGACCATCCTCTCTCTCTAATTAAATCCGCGTCGTGTACCCTGGGCTATCCTGTGTCGTTATTGGAGCGCTCAGTGCTTACAGGGCTCTTTGATCTACGGGCTCTACCTTCTGGATCTTGTTGCCCGGCCAATTACTTCTATCCTTCCATGTACAACGGGTTATGCTGTGTCATTGAGGATTTGTACGGATTACGTGCTGATAATCACGCATGCATCCACTCAAATTATTTTTGTAAATTTAGCGTCACACTTTTGGAAAATTAATCGACATATTTTTTTTTTTTACCAACTTACGTGATAGTGAATTGTTCAGATTTTTATTAATTATGAAATAAAAATTGAACGGGAATTTCCGTTTTTGGTGGTTTTCTATTAATTTTGAATTTTTTAGGCAAATATTTGGAAATTCTATTCAAAATGTCCAATAAAATTTTTCAACGGTGAAAATGAAGCTGGTGGTAGGTGTAATCTGCCACTTTATTTTCAATCACAATTTTATCCTTCTTTAAGCACATGGGAGAAAATAAGGGAAAAATCTTTTGCAAAGACCCTCTTCCTCGGGGATAAATATTCCATATTCAAGAATATTTCCCATAAATCCAGAGATCGAAATATTGACGCGTGCATTGAGAGGAAGAGATGAAAAATTTTCATGAATTCACGGGTGTGAAAAGCATTTATGGAATATTTACTCTGAACTTTGAAATGAGATCACGATTTCATCGCGAAATCCTGAAGATTTGAACAAGTCCATTTCATCCCGCATCCTCTAATTAATTCCAGAGTTGTAGCAACAAGTTGTACACGTCTCTAAAGTACAGCAAATCCTGTCGTTTTATCTGAGAGAACTAAATTCGGGAGAACATATATAAGACTGTAAAATCTTCTCTAATTATGCAATTCTCCTAGGAATTATTATGTCGTCATAAAATTCTGAAGCATCTCTCCCGCAGCCGATGACATTCTCTCACTGAAATTATTAACAATTAAACAAGGCGACATTTATCATCACATTGAACATAATTGTTGCAATTATTACGAAGAATTTTTTTCCACCGTTTGAATTTTTTGAGCAGTCAGTATTCATTGGATTGAGTTCAATGAACACCATATGATCGTCAATACCATTTACAATGAAATTTCGTCTTAAAAATTGAGTAACAAATGGTTTTTCATGTTGATTGATTATTTATTGTAATGAGATTTCGATTTCTAGGACTTATTATGCAAATTGGACATTGAAAAGTTTGAAAAATTCGAAAGAAAGGATTGAAAGCTTAGAAAACTGGAAAACTTCCATTATTTCCAGTAATTGTAATGATGGTATTTAAGAACATCCAAAAAGTCGATTTATTATGAAATAATAAAAAGGAATGAATTTCATATTAATTGACAGTTAAAGATTTCTACTATTTCCGATCTGACGACTAAGTCTCATTTGCCATTGAATGAATGAAGTGTCTTATTCCTTCTTTGAATTATTTAAATCAATTCATCAGGTTTTTAATGAAGACTCTTCAGTGGAATTGTTCCACACGGAGACCTTTCCAATAATGAATTTACTGTATTTTTATTATCTCATTTCCTCCACAGATTTCCACTGGACTCAGTAATTACATCTCACTCAGTTGTCGAGTGATTATCGAGCTGGTTGAAGCCAAGACGAAACTTTCTGGAATAAAGTGTTCGTTTTTTAACAACTGTACGAACAATTCACGACTCCACAGAGATTCAAATTCGCTCACCCACTGAATATTCCAGAGATGGAGAAGACCCAGGAGATACCCCATTGTCTTACATTATCCAACGGATCTTGTAGATTACAAACGCCCAAAATGTCCAACAAGAATTCGTATAGTTATAAAGTTGTAATCAGGTTGGTCTAAGCCTAGGGAAAACATGACCACTCGTCTGTATTCCACTCCACTTCGGCCTCCTTGAATTAACTTCAGTAATTTTCTACATTTGCGTTTATAATTCAAGGAGTGTTCCACCACTATTTCACATTTGAAAACTTTCACTTTAACGAGTTTGCCCACACCACATCAAATATTTTGTTATTAAAATGGCTTCTGGCTTTTAGTTTATTGCTTCGTTATTCCTCTTCACTCCGGGGAATTGTAGAAAGAATATTTTTTCCTTGAATTATACATTCAATAGCATATCGTATTCCTTCTAAGAATATTATCCTCAACTCGAATCCAGAAGAATTCTAATAAAAGAATATATCACTCCAAAATTCAAGAAAACCATTTTATGTGAAAGTACATCTTCTTCTCTTGCCTTTGACCCGCAGTTTGAAAATTAATGCAAAAAAAGATATTTGTATTTTTTCATGTGTTTTTAAATGAAATTAATTTTATGAAATTCTGAGCCATATATTATTTTACTGAGTTAATGGCTGTTCGAGGGGGTAGCTTACCCCCGATCCCTTGCTTGCCTCCCCCTCAACCCCTCAACCCTCAGAGATGATTTCAATTTTTATCTTGATGATTTTTCATGAGCTGTCTGTTACATTGCGAAAAAAATGCCTACTCCCTCTGTATGCGCAATTGAAGAAATAATTGAAATCAATAATGAATAAATTTATTGATTTAGATGATTTTTAAATCCGCGTATCGGCCGACAAAAAAAATACGTGGCATTTAGTTCTCAGTCCTCAGTAACATATTCAAGTTCCTTGTCAATTACCAGTTCAGTAATGGAATAACAATGGCAATAAAAAATTTCTGCCAGTTTTGCAGAACGCGCCCCTAGAGTGTCGCATAAATTATGTACTAGATATACATATACCATTGTATGTTGGTACCGGTAATTGAGATGGTGCTCAAAGTGAAAGAGTAAATCGTTTCGGCAACATGCAGGGTAAAGCATTTTGCCAGTATTCATCCCTTACCTGATTCACCAAGGGATGTTTACGTATGAACTTTGTCCCGCCAATAATATTTTCGCAAAATGTATGCATAACCCATTGTGACCTCAAACCCACACAATCCCATGTAAATAACCGGCTTACCGTATCCCTCAAATATTTGGTAGACCTTTGTGGATTAAATTTTCAAGTGGGCAGAGAATATTTACGGATTTCTTCAATTTTTTTATTTCTCCTTTTGGAGTGGAACGACGATCAATATTTTTTTGTCGAGCTGATTGATCATCATTTTATTCTTGAGGCGGGTCTTTGCATAATGGGACCATTGAATCAAATTGCTGTGCCCACGCAGAGGAAAAAATTATTCAAATGACTTCTAGTTCTGAAAAATTATCGTCATTTTTTCTTAATGCAAAATTTTCTCTGTGAAAAATTTCACGAAAAAACCGGTGAGTTGCTATCGGCGACGATTTATTTTATCAGAGTCATTTTATCATTATTATTTATAGAAATAATTCAGCATGGAATATATTTTCGATTCAACGTTTTTTTTTAATATTTTCACATAATCTATGCGATTATTAAAATAAACTATTGATTTATATATTTATATATTGATTGGTGGAAATTAATGGAAAACGTAAATGAATAGATTCGAAGGAAAGAAAGGGAAAAATGTCAAGACAAAATTTGACATCGAGACAAAAA